TAAGTCCATCAAAACAATGTCTATGCCCTGGTCTATGTCAGATCGTTCACTGAGCGGCTCTCCTAGCGAGTATGAAGAAAGTGTCGATTCGGAGTTGCCCTCACGCGCGTTACGGTTGATGGTTCGTCTTGGGCAGGCTTTTGGCGCACTTTTGCTAGCGCAGCAGCGTGGTGGGGAGTACAAGAGGATCGCTTCGGATCATAATATCACGGCACGGGTCAAGGACATGACTGCTATTCATGGCATGATGGACATCAGAACGCTAGAGATATTGTAGCCAGTGCATGTATTTCGAAGAACGGACATTTATAACATAATATACGTACAACAACGTTAACGACGACCATGATTGTATGGACACCGAGGCGTTGCTTGGCGTTTGTTTGTCCCTACTAACTTGTAACTCAGTGGGTCCTCGTCTTCTGTCCTTGTCTTCCCACCTCCCAACAGGTCATCCTTGCAAATACTCATGTCAGCTTCAGAAATATTAACTCTCCTGCGAGTTTAAGAACTAAGGGCTGCAAGATCCCTCACAGGTTCCGACATCAGTGGGAAGAATTATGTTGACAATATTAGCACAGATGGGCCCTACCCTGCAAGCTGAGTTATCATCCAATTAGTATTAATCAGTCACGGTACTCTGGCAGAGGACACATTTGAAGATCATTGTTCCTCGTGCACCATCCAGTCTTTTCCATTTTTCTTTTCTTTTCTTTTTGCTCCAAATTGATTTCCCAAGCACACGGCTAGGTTTAGACTACTGAATCGGACCTATCGCCGAGGGCATAACGAGAGTCATTCTAGGAGCGCTACTAGGCTATGGTCGACGTTTGCAAATTGCATGGCGGCCTCGTACGGTAGCGCTGAGGTCGGTCGTTCGCCTTAAACAGCCCTTTTACCAGCGCAGCATCGTGGTGCGGAGTACAAGAGGATCACATTGATATCGCACGACGTGGGGGACATGAATTGCGGAAGTTCATGCGGCACGATGGACGTGATATCACATTGTAATCGCATGCGTTTCGAAGGACGGAGATATCGAATCTAACACGTTTTTATCCATACCTTCACAGAATGGAATGCTAAAGATTTATATCATATTGTGCTAACTTAGAACAGGAAAACAAACCACTGTATCATCGAATCGTTGCTGATAGCATCGCTAAGAATACGTTGTCTATCATATCCTCACCGCCCCAGTCACTTGTCACGCGCATATCGGTCATAGTGCGTCCCTGTCAATTGTCAGTGCGTTTACTACCCGCAACAGCTCATCCGTTATGCTCGTTCACCTTCGTTCACCTTTAGCAATAGCTCTGCAGCAAGTGTGTACCGATGCGGCTGCAAGATCCCTCGGACCTCCTGACGTCAGGCTGCAACAATAGCGCGTATGCTACCGAGCTCTTGGGATCTGAGGCCGAGTTACCCCATGGAGTAGAGGTACAGCGTCACCGAAGTATTTTTACTACTCAGTACTCAGCATCCGATATCCTATTGCGCCCACTGAGTCACGGATACTCAATATGTGCCTGAGGACTAGGAAGGCGCAGCGCGCAGCTCATCCATTGCAAGGAGTCAAGCCGGATTATATTGGATGTGTCGGGTCGGCGCTCTTCCGGTTGTGACGACTTCCAAGACAGGATCCGGTAACAATATTAATGTGACGACAGCAAAGCTATGAATTTCGGGAACTGCCGTCGTCGTTTTTCGCTTCAGTGTAACAGAGGTGGACGCTCGTGAAACTTGCCAGGTGAACTTGAAGCTACTACTTCTGACCGCACAACAGCGATGCTAATGCCTGACCCAGAATGTGAAAGACGGGTCAATGGTCAGGAAGGGCAAGCAACTCAAATCCCAATGGAGCGCCATTCGCCGACAGATAACACCAAGAAATCGGGGAACTATGTCAATATCGACTGCATGCGAATAGAAAGTTCATTTCCGCTATTATTCCGCCACCTCGAATTAAAGTTCCAACAAATCATATATATCATTTGTTCGACTTCCTTTCCCAGAAAATAGTGTCGAGAGCCTCACTAAGTATACCGTAAATATTCGTAGGGACTCAATCAATTGTCAGTTGCTACACAATTTTATTGCCTTTCCAAAAATAAAAACAAAGAACCACTTGCTCTAGACATCTATTGTGCCACTCTATCCTCGTCAACAAAAGCCATCCACCTTCAAGCCGAAACAAAGTTCACCGCCGAAAAATGAAACGTTATACTTCCCCTGGCCATGGTCGCCGCAAGAGTGCTAGGCACGTTGGATTCAGAAGGCTTGCTTCTTCGCGGCGAAGTTGTGCAGCGGTCCGGTGGGTACCCGTGCCGTCAGTGGTTCCTTCCACGGATTCAGACAGTATGTGTGGAGTGACAAGAAGCACCAAGCGATAGAATACCGGACTAATAACGGCCACCGTGACAGACTCGGAGAGAGCTTGTCAGTCCACGTCATGCGCGTATCTAGGATGATGCGTGTTTATTCCTGATTTTAGCTGCGCCTGTACCGCACCCATTGGATAAGATGTGCCAGTTGCCACGTTTCTGGACGTATTTCACGAGGATGATTGAGGATGGGAGATTACTGGAGACGACGGGAGACGGAAGTAGCCGCGCGGGTCCTTCTGAACGATGCGTTTCTTTTGCCAATTGGGTGCTTCCCAGGCTCTCACTCCTAAACTCCGTAGCTGCACTTGACGCTGGAGGCATGGGAGCGAATTTCATTTGGCGTAATCAGTGAGCAGTTGCTTTTCGAGGGCGCAATGATAGGTATTGGTGGAATTGTAGGGAAGTTGGTCGGTGGTTGAACCCCTGAGGAACTTCAGGACGCGTACGCGTACAACTTCAGATAGAACGCATCATGGATGCCACGAGCTTGCGATGAGGCTTTCAGGGATCTTTCCACCCACTCACCCATATATCTGTTCACCGCGTATAATGTTTGGGAAGCACATACATTCATGTACAGTGGCATCAGCCTATACATAGCATTCTATAGTGCTGGTCATATGATGGATTACTATCCCTGTGATTGAGGATCATGGCCGGACATGAAGCATGAGTGGGGTAAGACATTAGGTTTCATCGTGTGGTGAGTACGTAGTGGTGCACAATGATGCTGCCCCACCTTGTTGCGAAATTAGGTTGAACCTAGACCTGAGATGAACGTAAAGTTAACTTCAGCCTATCAATCTGCGATAGACGCTCGCCAGGGGGGCTAAACAATGTCCCCGTAAAGTGTTGGCGAAAGATGTCAGCCTCGATATAAAACGTGTGACCCGCCGATAGGTCGCTAGATCTCCTTAATTGACGACGCGAAGAGTGGTGACCGTTCAGCTCATTGCATCGTGTTCAGTTGACTTCAAAGAAAGTGTGAATTAAGAGAGGGACTCCCATACCTTGATCGGGAGTTATCAGGAGATGTACTGATCGGAGGGCAGAGCAAACTCCGTGGCGTGCGATCCTGCATACGTTCGTCAAGTGTACACCAGCCTACGGCAGCGATGATCGGGCTGCGCCGATGGTGCTTTGCAAAAAAAATTAGTCGATGCAGCATCCGCTAGATTCGCCAGGTACTGCAGAAGACTGCAGAACATTGCAAGCGTTCCGGGCGATCAGTGTGCGGGTACGCAATTGCCTACAGATCCCCCGAATCGATATCGGATCAGTGTGCCTGGACCGAGTCAGAGCTGTGCAACAACAAGATCTCGTGTTTCAGCTTCGAGACATATCTTCTTGACAACGCCGGACCGCGGAAGATGGTTCCGTCTTATGGCGATTGACCAACGAACGGGATGACACGGCTTGCATCCCGTTGCAGCTCCACGATGAGATTGTGATAACTTTAAACAACGCTTCAGAAAATGGGAGCATGTTCTAGGGCGTGTTCGAAGAAGAGCCTGCTATCTACTATCCGAATCCGATAATCGATGGTCGGCAAGAAAGGAAACATACTGCAAGTAAAACATGTGGAGAGGGTTAATGCATCCTGGTTATTGATGCAATAATCAGTCAAATTTGATGCTTTATTCAGAATTGCGCGACAAACCTGTGGATCCGGCGTGTCAAACATATACCGAGATATTTTCCGACTTCCGATAACCTCGTGAGCAACTCGTGAGATGACCAAATGTGGGCGCCTTTGGTGGTTTGGACATTGTCTTGCTCCGTCCGAGGCCAGGAAGAATGTATCTACGGCCGCTATGGTAGATTCCTGTTGCGTTGAACCAAGCACAGCGAAGAAGTGCGCCGCCTGATTAGGCAAAACTATCCTCAAACGACTGTCAGTGAAGTCATCCCTGGGGGGCCGGATTGTGGGTATTTGCGCTGCGGCGGAACGCAGGAGACAAATGAAGGGAATATGATCAGTCATGGATTATGAGCGGGTGAATCCCGCCGTGGCGGGAACACGTGTTTCGCACACCGGACATGTTATATGACCTGAAATGGGCAAAAAGTGTGGGACATAAACGGTTCCGACTGGTATTTTTGCCAATACCTAGGCGCCGTTGACACAGAAAGGCTGTTGTTTCCATCGGCAAGATTCGTACGATAGTCTTGGCTGTCCTTCTGGTCGAGTCATGCTTTCAAAGCAGCCAGGACAAAGGGCGAAATACCCTAAGCCCTAACCCTAAATTAGAACTTGTACTTTGCATAAACTCTATTATTCATCCAAAATTTGTGATTCGTGATTCTGAAAGAAATACCTAGAACATGAGGAGGCTCTCTAGAAAATGTCATAGTACCTACAGATGGTAACTCATAGATTAAATGAACATATTATGAAGATGGCGTGTTTTGTGATTCTGGCCCATGGTAGAAGAAATTGATTTGTTTGGCCGTTAGCCATGCGTGCAGTGCATTGTTTGGCTACTTTTGGATGACTTGCCGTCATTTGAGATTTTCACTTCATGCTATTTATCCACCACCAGGTCAAGCGATACCCCTTGTCAATAGCTTTCTAACTAGCAAACCTGGCAAGGGTTTCATCGTCTTGACCTCATGCTTACGCTCAGTCCTGGTTCGGTCTGCGATGTGTGCGCAGAAGAGTACGGTCCGCACTGTGTTCCTCACTCCATTCCGTGCGGTGAGCTCAATCTTTTGATGATGTGGGAATTTTTTTAATTCGACTCATAAATCTTTCTATCCCGTAGGTCACGTCCTCTGCTCTAGTTGCTGCCATAAAATCGTAGAAAAGACATTGCCCCGTCTCCAGCCCGTCTGTCCATTCTGTCGGGATCATTTTACCAGCGAGGATGTGCGTTTGATCCGCATCGACTTTTCAGCAAGCGGATGGGCCACTACTCGACGGCGAGGTGGCCTCACTGAGGCTCTTGACATTGCTGACCGCTCCACACCACGACGGGAAGATCGTTTTCCCTTCGTCGAGCCGAGCTCCTCGCGTACTCGCGCAGAAGCTCGCAGGTTGGAGGATAAAGTGGCAAAAGTAGCCGCTAAAAAATGCTCAGTGGAAGAGGTTTCGACTCTACACAACGAGCTACAAGACTGGTTGACTCATGATGAAAAATCTAATGACCAGGTATTTTTCTTTTCTCGCTTCAATGTTTGCGGTTCCGCTAACTTGTGTGCAGTTGAACTCTTCTTTATCCTTGAGTGCTGCGCTGCTCAGGGCAATTTTGATGAATCACTTCGCTCATTCGGAAGCTACGAAAATGGCAAAGGGAGTCGAGGCCACCCTAAAAGGGAAGCTAGACGACGCGGAATTAACAATCACTAAGCTAGAAGCCGATCTAAAGCAGTACGTAACATTCGATCTATCCGTTTTGCTTGGCTGACCGCTCTTCTTTTAGACAAGTACGTTATAGCTCGAAGAACGTTTTACACGATGCTCACCTTGTTTTCTTTTGTTACAGCAAGCCCTCCACAACCAAAAAGTTCAAGAATGCCAGGCTCTTCGAGCAGAGCTTAGCCGTTATACTCTTAAGTCCGCTTCCTCTCAGGCTGCAAAGTCACCTGCTCGCCCCAGCACCGTCGCTCCAACTGGATTAAGCGAGCGGCGCCAATCAGTTTCATCATCAGCAGCATCTACGTATAACGTACCAGCTATGCCATCCATGCTCTCGCGCTTCGCAGCTACTCATTCTCGAAGTGCCTCCGCATCCGTGTCAGGAGGGTCGAGACCAACGACCCCCGCACGCACGACGACACCATCGATTAGGTCTGAGACTCCAACACAAGCGTCGATGCTGTCGTCTCGCTTACGTGCTACGTCCCCAATCCCCCCCTCCAGACCGCGGACTATCTCCATCTCCGCGACGTCGCCTCAAAAAATAACTCGTTCGCACTCCGATGAGCAGGAGAGAGAACGAGAACGGATTCACGAACGTTGGATGCCGTCACCAAACGTGGCATACAGCCCGCCGACAGGCAAAACTATCAACTATCCGCCCTACTTTGGTTCGTCCCCAGCTCCCGGCCGTGCCCGCTCCTCGTTCTCAACAAATGCTGCTTAAAATTTTCCTTTTGGATTTGTCGTTGCTTGGTTTCAGTCTAGCGGTCCCAGGACTACTACTCTACTTGTCTCATATTGCTATCTGTCGCCTAGTTCTCGTATCCATCTGTCTCATCTCTTTTCCTTTCTCTCGCATCTTTCTCATCTGCATCTCATCATTCGCGCTGCTCCTTAAACTAATGCTTTATTTCTTTGTAACCTATCCATTTTGCTTTCTTGACACCATTGGCTTTGGCAGGATTTCTCAGCCATACCCGTATTCGTTCCTGTTACTTATTTCCTTTGAACATTTTCACCCCTTAATAAGGAGCGCGTTTTTATGTGCGTTTGATTGCACAGCACATACTTCCTGTAGCATTGCGTCGTTTCCTCTTTCCTGCTTTCACTGTCACTAGCGTTCCTTGCTCTCGATTATCCCTTTTCGGCCCTCTCCATTCTCCGTCCCGCTTCCATTTCATCCGCTCCTCGTCGATTCCCCCTTGATTCCAGAACTTGTCCCTATATTCTTCCTCCGTATCCCGCTTCCTCCTCTACCATTCCTAGCCGCCGAGCTTTTAGATATACCGTCTCGCTATCAATCACTTGCTTCTTACGATGAGTTTGCGGATTTTAGTTTCCGCGGACTCCCTTACGGTTTTTGATGATTCTCAGTACTTACATAGTAGTACATGACTTTTACCTAGTAGATTTGAATGATAGCTCTAGCGTTCTCATTCACACTGCCGTCGTTGATTTCATATTGCAATTGCATATTGTCGTTGAAGATTTGTGACAAAGTTCAATTGAATTGGATATGAAACTCAAAACGCTTCAACCGTTTCAAACATTCAAGTGTTCTCCGCGGATAAGTAGTTCGAGAAACTGGTTACCTGAACGCTGGCGCGGCTTTAGTGTTTCAAAAAGTTAAGTGTCAACGTAAACTTGGGCTTGTGCGGGGGTCTGGCTATAATCACATGCTATTGATTCGATTCAGCACTTGAAGGTGCAGACACCGCTATCATCCAGGCTCTATTTACTTCACCATCGACAAACTTTACTTTGTCTGCTTCGTGAGTTGAACAGTTCTTCATGCTTATCATCCCGTGAATAGCACTACCTTCACGACTTCTGCAACATTCCAGCGCGCGGGCATTTGTTTTCGAGTCATTTTCGAGTCCCTGAACTCGTGCAGCGTGTAAAACACGCTGCCTTCCCGAACAGGCACAGCGCCGTTGCAACGAGGCTACGAGCCCTGCGCATCATCGGCCTAACTGCGCATGTCCTTACACAAGGGCTATTATTTCTGCAGATTTTCTCGTCGGATATTACGCGAGGGATTTTCCTGGTAAGCGTAACTCAAAATGGAGAGTTGTAACGTTGCAACGTTGCAAACACATGCGTTTTGTAGAAGGGTAGGTGAACCTTCGCTCACTGCAGGACAGGATCCTTCTTTCTTTATTTCTTCCAGCGCTCTAAGCGTTATCATACTCCGCTCCGCCGCGTATCGTGCGTGCGCAGCTGAGCATCAATTCAGTTTTGTGACGTGAATGACATTCAGCCCCAAAACGCGATTGCTGGATGGTGCGGATGATAGGGGGACCTTTTGAAGTTTGACGTAAATTACTAGCTGATACGATCAGTTCAGTGGCGAGCGAGCGATTCCTTTGGTTTTCCTTTCGGACTCATCGATCGTCGATCAGCCTGATTGTAATTGGGCCCTGCACACTGCGTCTAATGAACATACACAGAAGCCGTTGATGTTTATGTTTTTCGACTCCTTCGAGTGATAGTGCTCTGGTGAAGTGTTCTTGCTGGAACAAATGGAACTTGGAACCAGTGACCTTTGATATCCCTAATACAAGGAAGCGACTATCCCCTCGATAGGCTGGCTAGAGGAGACTAATCAATACCATGAGTTCGCTTCTATCAGTTGCTGTGTATCGAATATATTCGGCCGTTGAATGATAACATGATAGGGCATAGGACGTGCTCAATTGGGACATGACGTTGCTGTGCTGGTCGTATCGCAATCACCGCCAGCAGCCAGCTCATGTCGTGGGTAGCAAATATCAGGGCCGAATCATCCAGCATATCATATCATAGTTTACTGATACAGAGACTACAAAGGTAATCGAATACTATACAACAAAAAGGTTCAACCCTAAGGGTGACTAGCAGGGACCTGACACGGCGAATGAACACGATCAAAAGAAGCGCACAACACAAATCGAACCAACACTTACGCTGCTCAGGCCCAACGCAGATGCAATCTTGCTGTATTCCGCGCTCGTGGGGGTTACAGTGCCCGCGCAAACTGTGCATCATCAGTCAGATCGAGTATTAGTAGTAACGGCAGTGGCTAAGCGTACTTTGGGATATGCGCCCTTGATCACTCTGAGTGGCGATAGCGAGCTGCTGTGCGTTCATACCTGATCGAGGGTCATAATGTTAAGTATTCTAGTGATCGAATATGTACAAGGACATGCGCACCCTTGTTGGCGAGGGCGCTGGAGAAGGCCTGGCAGACGGTCATGGTGAATGGGTTGAGGTAGATGTGGGATGATTAGATGCAAGTTGCAGGATAAGAGACCCTGATATATTGGAGCTGTTTCACGGGTTTATATATGTGACAGGTCAACGGATTGATCCATGATGGACCATCGGATGCCGCATTAGGGATTTGCTGTGGGCAGGTGACCGGGTGACCCTGCCGAGAAGATTATCTGATAAGGTGTATGTATATGCAGGATTTGATGTGTACTGGACTCGAAGAAGCGCATGCTGTTCCACTTACAATTTAGAGAAACAACAGACATGACTCCAAGGAGATAGCAATAGGAGATATTTCATCATTCTGTTAGCTGCATTAAGCAGGGTCCGACCACACGTAAAATTGACGCAGTGTATCGCGATCTTCAAGTATGTTTCTGTGAACATGTAGACGGCTTCGCGAGCCGTGATAGGAGCAACTAGTGAAAGCGACGTGCACGAATATTGAGATCATAGCACACACACTGATGAATAACAGCCATCGATTGTTCTAACTTCTCATCTTCTCAGCTTCGTTGTGAATTTGGAGGAAGCTTGATACTCATGTTGTCATTTGATTTATGACATTGTGAGTGGAATGGTATGAAGGAGCTTTCAAGGAACCTGATTGTATAATACGATCCTGTCTGCTGCAGGTTGCCAGCTACTAGCAGCTAGCTAGGATGTTTGCGATGTAATTTGAATTTCGCATAGTACTGATGTTGTTATTTGTTCATGTTTGCACAGTTCCCCCATAGCCGCAAAACCTTGCTTCAGATTCCTCGACTCCAAGGCCCATATCGCTGAATATACCTCAAGCCCATCAAAATGGTGCGTATATGGTTCCGTACACTGTCCTCTGGTGTTTTACGCCATTAATTTGAGCATTGTTTCGAATTTTGGCCTGTTGTTGAAGGTGGATTGCAAACTGACTTTTGGATGCATAGGCTCCGAAGAAAACCAAGGTCGCCAAAGAAGATAATACTGTTTCGCTCGGTCCTCAAGTTGCAGAGGGAGAGCTTGTCTTCGGTGTTGCACACATTTACGCCTCTTTCAACGACACCTTCGTCCATGTCACCGATCTTTCTGGCAAGGAGACCATCTCCCGTGTCACTGGTACGCGCGACCTGCTATCTTGGCAGAGATATTCAGCTACATGATGATTATGAATAGGTGGCATGAAAGTGAAGGCTGATCGTGACGAGTCGTCCCCTTATGCCGCTATGTTAGCTGCTCAGGATGTTGCCACGCGCTGCCGCGAGGTTGGCATCACTGCCCTCCACATCAAGCTCCGTGCAACTGGTGGTACTGGCACTAAGACCCCTGGCCCCGGTGCACAGAGCGCCCTCCGTGCTCTTGCTCGCGCTGGCATGCGCATTGGGCGTATTGAGGACGTTACGCCTGTTCCTACTGACTCCACCAGACGCAAGGTATGCGCTCTCACCCGTTTTGAGGAAGCTTTGTTATTAATTTTCTGACAGGGTGGTCGTCGTGGTCGTCGTCTGTGATCTCCATCTTCGTGTTATTACTATGAGATTCCCGAAGAGCCAAAAATTGTTGTGCATGTAATTGGAGTTACAAATGATATGTCGCCGTTCGACGCGCATCAGGTTTTTGCCTGCCCCGCGGTCGTTCACCTGTTTGTGTCTCTAGTATTGTGCTGTCAACATCTTTGTGCTTCATATCGACGCGTGATGAATATGAAAAACACGTGAAACTTGACCAGGTGTTTGAAACCCTGTTGAGCTTCCGCTTTATGTAACATTTCTTCTTCCTGTTTATTTCCTGTGCATACAACCAACGTACCACAATACTGTGTATCCTTGGCCTGAAGTCATTGAATGGGAGGAGCAGCCAGCAATGGAACTCATGGTCGTGTATAGATTTTTGCGCAAGATCTCGGACTGGACCATGTCTGGGTTCTATTCCGAGGTCTGCATCACAGGAGGCGAGAATGTGCCGCGGGACGGACCTGTGATCATGTACGTTTCCCGTTCATCCTTGTAGCAAACTTATCATCATGAGTCGTTCAGTGCTGCGACTCATCATAATGAAATTGTCGACATTGCGGCACTATGTGAGCTCTCCTCAACGAGTTCCCTTTTTACAACTTGGACCATTTAAACAACCGGTGTCGCAGCGGCGACGATATCGTATCGTCGTAGGGTATGCTACTGGGCAAAGTCATCTCTTTTCAAGAACCCCATATCTGGCGCCCTGCTCACTTCCTCAGGAAGCATCCCCGTTTATCGTAACCCCAACAGCTCTTCATCCTCATTTCCGTCGAACAGCAACAGCTTGCAAGCAGACTTGTTTCGTCACACCTCCGCTGCCCTTGCAGCTGGCAATGTTATTGGTGTATTCCCCGAGGGAACGTCGTACACGGAGCCCGGAATCGTGCAAGTGAAGACGGTGCAGCGTGGGCTGCGGTGGAATACGCTAAAGCCATGGATTTGTCCGGGATGGAGGGCAAGGAGTTGGTCATTGTCCCCGCAGCGATAGTCTATACTGATAAGTCCAAGTATCAGAGCAGAGTAAGTTTTCAAGTATTTCATCTTTAATCTGACCGCATGTGAGATGTAGGTCTGTGTCAGGTAGTTACCTCGGTCTATCGTTGAGTAGTACAACTGAGTGCGACCTCCGACTACTCAGATACGGAAAACCAATAGCAGTTGGCGAATATGCAGCAAGACTGGATCCGGAGAGTGCTGATAGCACGCGTTTTGTGGTCAAAGAGATCACTGCTGCGATTGATTCACAGCTCAAGCGCTTGACTGTGAATGCTCATGACTGGTACGTGCCATTTTATCATGAAAACTTACTGTTCCATCATTTTGCACGATTCAGGAAAACACTCCGTGCGGCTTGTGCAGCAAGAATGGTGTTTTGGAAGAACGAGGATCGCATCCCGCTTGACAGATTTGTCGATATCTCTCAAAAGTGAGTTTGATGTATCTTGTACCTCAGTCTCCCGAAGTTTCGACGATTGTAAGGTTTGTCGACGCATTGTTGCCAAGAAGCGATGAAATGGAAACACGGAAGGCCATTTTGAATAGATACCTTGCGCTTCTGCACTTCACCGGCACTTCTCATTTAGCTCTGGAAGTCCTCTACCCATTCGTCGATTACAATGAAGACTTTCCTATGCGAGCCCTCCTTTTACCATCTCGTATCCGCACTGGTGTGACACTCCTGTTCCAACTGTGCACCACCATGTTCCATCCTCGTGCCCTTCTCTTCTTCCCGGTATTCGTGGTTCACGTTCCAGGGTACATCACTGGCTGGTTCGCTGCACGGATGCTGACGATACCGAACGAGGAAGAGACCAAGGCTCAGTTTAAGGCTATATTCGGTGGTATGGGATTCGCCTTATCCTATGGCCTGCTCATGCGAGCATGCGTGAAGCTCGCAGTCAAGTTCACCGACCCAGTCCTTTCCCCAATTCGCAAGGGAGGTGTTGTTGTTTTCATCAACAAGATTGTACGATTATCGGCGCTGTGCGACTGCCTCGCTGGAAGACAGGGGTTGTTGAATAGAGCGCTCGGTACTCTCGCCACAGCAGTTGGGATGACTTGGTCCCTTTGGAAGTGGCACAACGCCCTTGTGTATGGCAAGTGATCAAGGCTTTGAATCATTTATGATGCTTATTTGGCGAATAGTGAACTATAGGCAGTAGGTGATCTGGGTTGAGACCATAGCCATGAATCTGACATCCATACAGATGGAAGCGTTTTCTGACTGCCTTCAGGGTTTTCACTGGCCTCTTGCTCCCTCCATCTTTTGATCTACCAGCTGATCAACTTCTAGCGTATTCAACTCTGCCACTTCCCGTAGAGAATCCGTATGTCAAGCGACACGTAGTTGACCCTCCCAGAAGCAGCAGTGCTCTCGTTGGTGAGGCAACCCATACAGTGACACAATCCTCTGTGCGGAATGCCGACAACGCGAGGCCTGGTGCACAAGCTCCACCGATTCCTACAAGGCGGCTCATACGGCACCTATTCTCCGCTCGTTCTGAGGCCTGCCGTGCACTTAAAGAGTTATCGGATGGACAGACGCCGGGATGAAGCCTGGCAAGCCCACGTTCATGGTTTCTGATACGTTAGCATCTCGTACATTTCTTGATTGTCTAATATATTTACCTTCAAGGGACTCGGTCACTCAAAAGTTAGAATGCATGTTGTTGCGAGGCAGTTGGATGAAGTGCATGCATCTTGTGTGTTGTTGTGGTCCCGACTAAATCCACTGTCAATAGGCGACTCGAAATATCTATACGTTTAGAAACTCCTTGGTGATAATTTCGCCTAAAACGCCGTCTAGGACCTCTGAGATGTATTACTCATGGGGTTTCCCTGGTCAAGGGTTTATAATCACGGACCTTTGGTACGTGAACTAAATGACCATGTAGCACATGAAGGGTTGTCCTCACCACAGCATCGCTGTCCAACGCTTTAGCGCCCTGCAAAAATTGACTTGCTTTGTGGGCATTTCGCTGTTCGAGGCATCATATTCCAAGTAGGCTACTGTTGTGTCAACAGTTGTGCTACCCTTACTGAGTTTTCGCAAGAGCGGGATTTCATAGACATCAGAGGGGGGTACAACATCTACCACGATGAGTACGACCTAGGGGGTGGATGGTAGACGTCGATTTAATACAGATCAAAATGATCATCAAAATTCTTTGAAGTTATAGCGATAGCGAATTTATGTAGTACGTGCGCGTTGTATTTAGTAGATGCTAGGTATGCGCCGGTTACGTATTTGACTTTCTTAGCTCAGTTCACCCACTCGTCTTTGGCGGTCGACTTCATCATTTCATCCTCATTTTTGATTCTAAGCATGAGGACCATTATAACAATCATTCTCTTCGCCAACACTGCCAGCACAATCGCTTTCACCCCAAGGATATTTAAAACGCTTGGGCGTCTAAACAATAAGGATAACGATCCGTGCATGACAAACGTCCCGATGGACTGCACAAGCGCTCCTAGATGGGATGGGCGGCGAACGACCGATCGAGCATGGTCTAGTCGTGACAGGCGTGCGCTCCTTGCGAACACTAATATGTAATGTGAAGAGTGCGCGCTGGTGCTACACGCAGACAAGCTTAACTAGACTCGGGCACTTTGTTGTGATGCACCAAGTGTCGACAGGAATGCAGAGTGATGTATGAATAGTCCAATTATTCATTTGAACAGGATCATTCAAACATTTCTACGAAGCTGTCAACATTGGCGCGACGAGAAACCTTGGTTCTAAATCTACTCTGTCACATTTCCCTCTCCAATCTTCCGTTCTCCTCGCACCTCTATTTAAGACTAGGTACGGGTGTCCGTCCTCCAGGCCCGTTTTTGTCAAATCGTGCTGAGTGTGTCTTCAAGACATGGCGTCTACCGACGATCACTCAGGCGAGCAGGGAGCAAGAACTTGCTGTTATGACTCAAGTGAAGGAGCTGAATGGGGAAAGGTGTCCCAAGGGAGAAACCGTAACCCTTCTATGACTGGGAAAATGTAGCCGCGACTAATTCAACAGCTGTCTGTATGAACTGAGAGGGCGGCAAGGTCTTCTTTGGTACACGAGCTACAGGAAGGGAGAGTGCAAAGGTGGGAACTAGAATAACTAGGGGAGCTGTTGCATGTGGTATCCCCTTCTCCCACGATTAGTGGGAGGAGGGTTTTGTCAGACGCAAATATCCCCTCCCAAATCTGCCTCGAGTTCCGGCTTGAACTTGACATGACAGACGCCTGGTACGCAGTCAGGCTATGCAGTCAAGCAGTGCAGTTTCTCACCCTCCACCTTGATATAGATAGAGGCGCTCGTTCGGTGACTGAAACACACTACAATCCGAACCACCACACGAACCCAGGCGATGTCATCCAATAAGCCGAAGGCTGGAGGGTCCAGACAACTAAAGGCAAGAAGGCACACATCTACGTTTCGTATATCTGATCTAACATAATAGAACGGTCCGCATGCTAAACAACCCTCTTTTGAAACCAAGCAGTCCCAGGATGATAGTGAGCTACTGGATGTCACTATAGCCGCCATCAACACTACGAAAGATCTTGTTCCTATTGCGTTAGCGCAAGGCATCCTCGGAACAATTGCAAACATTCTGACTATTGCACAGGTGCGTTGACCTAACTCTCAGACAGATTGGTGAAGACCTATGTTTATACAGTCGGTGATCAAGAACAAGTCCGATTTCAAAGCGATAGCCGACAAGTGCGAGACCATCAAGGAAATTCTTGAAAGAGTGACCGAGGGTGCTACCGGCGATGACCTGTGATACTTGGGGCATGCATTGTCTCAGCTCAACATGTGAGTCAAATCAATGTTGCCATCGCCAGAATCTGATGGCACTGTCCAGATCAGTAAACTACATCAATAGCGACGTAGAGTCAAAGAAGGAGCAAAGATTTTTGAGGAGGCTCTTCGCTGTCACGATTGATCGTGACAAGATCGCTGCATGGGAAAAGGACTTGGATCGCGTCCTCGGACTGTTCAATGTACGTTGTCCTGCATGATTTGGGAATCATGCATGGACATGACTACTAGGTATCCCCCTAAAAGACAAAGTCTGTTAGCTTAGTCCTCAGACTAGTCAACCCATACCTTGGTATCAAACCTTGGTCCAATAGTTTCAGTTTTCCCTCAGTGATTCATGAATCCACCATGTTTTGAAGAAAAGTCATATGTGAGATGGGAATCACATAATGACCTAGTTGATATGAGAAGCAAAAATGAAGGTTAAGGTATTGCCTTTCATTTGGCTTATTCACTTTGGCTTTCCATTATTTCTGAGTTGTTTTCTCTAGTGTTTCTTTACTTTACTTTTCTATTAGGATGCTCTGACTAATCAGATGCTTCATAAAATTGTACCTACAGGGTATGATGTCATAATGATGTCATAGGACTTCACCTACACTCCTGCAGGTATTTTGGTTGAAAGATATGATATCATAGTGATGTCATAATGATGTCATGTTCCATGGAATTTGCTAGAACATTCCAATGACTCATAATGACTCATAGTGACTCATAGTGACTCAGAATGATGTCATTATCCCACCATGAATATTCTGGAATGTTCTTTTGCACCTGCTAGAACATTCTGCTCCAGTTTTTGGAATATTCTTCTCACATTCTGAAGTCATTACATCACCTTTTTACTTACATAATATTCCCACACAAAATGTATATAAGGAGAGCCCATTCTCCCCCAAAAAAAATAGATCTCCCACTTGTTGCATTCAAGAACTCCCACTTGAGCAAATTGAACTCTCACCTAAGAAGCTTCAGTCTGAACAAATTGCTGCTTACAAAGCCCATTTCCTTTGTAAGAACTGTCCAGGCAAGTGCAGGGAAAGTGTTTCCCTTGAGATTACGTAAGTTTCTCGCGATAGAAACCCAGTTTTGTGAGACCAGTGTTCTCACCACGTAGTGTTTACTGACCAACACGAGCTTTGGTCACCGTTGTTATTTGTGAGACCAGTGTTCTCACCAGGTATTTGTATACTGACCAACACGAGCTTTGGTCATTGTTGTTATTTGTCATTGTTTTTTTTTATTTGTCATTGTTGTTATTTGTGAGACCAGCGTTCTCACCAGGTATTTGTATATTGACCAACACGAGCTTTGGTCCACGTAGTCACATTTGAGACCAGCTTCTCAACAGTTAACCGTATATTCAGGAAACCAGTTCAAGTGTCTAGACGGTATATCCTAGACAATCCCATAGTTTCAATCAGAGATAATAAAGCTCCGGCTAAGTTAATCTGACTGATTGGTTTAGTGAGCCTCCCAAGAACTCACACGTTATCTACCACGAAAGAAGAAAAGTCGTAGACCGTGTTAATCAAGGACTGGCAAGAAGTCTTATCCAGTGTAATTGTGGTGTCATTACATTCTTACACGTATTTATATAAGACCCTCGGTTATTAAGACAACGTCTGTGTAACTTCATCTCAACTTTGCTGCTGAATGGCATCCAAAGTTTGAAGCAATTGCTGGTGTGGCGATTGACATGAAGTCTGTGAAGAAGGCTTTGGAACTTGTGGGCAATGTTCCTAGTATGAATGCTCCAAAGTATGTTGTTATTTCTGGCAGGTTATGCATGTCCTCTAAATGCAATTAGGAATCGCCAGATCGAGCCTCCACCACGGCCTGCCATGCTGTTTGGCCGTGATGTTCTTGTGGCAGAGTTGACAAACCTTGTCGTCAATGATAAGCATTTGGCGTTGATCGGCACTGGAGGCATGGGAAAAAGTTCATTGGCCAAAGCCATCATCAATGAGCCACTTGTCAGGGACAAATTTGCTGATAGGCGCTTCTTTGTAACTTACGATGGGCTGAAGCCTTCGACCATCACTCTCGAAATTTTCATGGCGCATTTTGCGGGAGCCCTGGGCATAGAGATCTCCAATGCTGATCCCTTGTGCCAGATATCTACCTTTCTTCGTTCTGCCCGCACCCTCATTGTCCTGGATAATGCTGAGACCTTTGAAGAGGCCAGCGCATCGTTGGCGCTCAGAGACATACCGCCGGCCATTGCCGAAATAGCTAGTATCCCTGGCGTCATTCTGGTTCTCACATCACACAGTAGAAGGAATGCACCAAACGTGGAATGGATAACAAAGGATGTTCCATCACTGGACTTGAGCTCTGCCCAAGCAGTATTCTTTCGAATTTATCATCATGCCAGTCGTAGCAAAGCCGAAGAAGACATACAAGGCCTGCTGAAGGAATTGGATTTTCATCCCCTTTGCATCAACATACTCGCAAATGCTGCACAACAAAGTGACTGGTCTCCCACCACGCTGCTCAAGAGATGGACCGATCTACGTAGCAAGGTACTTGATGGCGGCAAGGGGAAGCTGCAAAGCTTATCCAACACCATGCAGCTGTCGCTCAGCTCACCCTCGATTCAGAATCTTGGCGAAGATGGTCTTCGTGCTTTGGCCATCATTGCTTTCTTGCCCCAGGGTCTTAACAGAGACTTGGCTAGTGATTTGTTGCCATCGCTTCCGCAAGTCGACACTATATGCGATGTTCTCTGCATACAATCACTCGTCTATCGTCAAGACAACTTCCTCAAGATGCTCGCCCCCATTCGGCATTATGTGCAAGATTCTTTGCAAGCACATGACTCCAGGTGTTTGCAAGACATACGTGCCTTCTACTATCGCACTATCGAATCCTGTTCGGAAGAACGCAACAAGTATGCTAATACCATTACTTCGGATCACCTAAACATTGAGCAAGTAGTTGCTTTCAACCTTGCTGATATCCCGGATGATGCAGAAGAGACCTATAACGCTTGCTGGCTATTTTCGGAGCGCTTGCGGTGGCATCTGCCTCGCCCAACTACTCTTACCCCTGCTATTTTCAGTATTCCTGACAACTCTTCTATGTGGACGCTAAAAGTAAACTGCTTGTTAACTCTTGCATGGCTGTACAACACCCTTTCTCAGCTCGCCGAAGCATCACAAGCTTTTCAAGCTGCCGAGGCGCTCTGCCTCACGGCTGGCGACCCCAAGAGGATGGCGGATTGTCTTATAACTCGTGCAGACTCGCTGAGAGCTCAAGGTCGCTTTATGCTGTCCGAGAAGCTCTTAGAGAATCTTCAGCACTCCCGCTCTTGGGAGTCTCTCAGTGAAGCAATGAAAGCCTGAGCTTGGTTTTTCTTGGATAAGGCCCGAATGTTCATATTCCCAGCATCTACTGATGAATTATTTGTGAAGTCCGTGGAAGATCATGTCTGGGGCTTGCATTCCAAGATTTGGCACTGTCGGGCCAAATTTTATCAGGGGGGAGACGCTGTCCAGATGCACACCCGCTTAGAAGACCTTTTCCGGCAATGTCCAAGTACTGGAGATCTCGTTGACCACAGGGATGCACTTGAGGGGCTTGCACAAATAGCATTTTGTGAAGGCAGGTTGTCCGATGCAATGGATAACCTGCAGACGCTCGTGGGGATTTTCGATGGACAACATTCGGATGGCGTCCTTTGGTGTACCGTGCGAAAGGCTGTTGTTGCGAGCAAGCAAGGGAATTGTGACCTTGCGAGGGAGCTCATCCAGAAAGCATCAGAGCCCTTCCAGTTCTTTTCACTGCGCAGTGCACGCACATTCCTCCACCAATCTTACGGCTCGGCATGTATTGAGCTCACCGCAGGCAAGTGCGACAGGGCTGAGACTTATTTCACCACCACGATCGAAGCCTGCGACATGCAAGGCGATCTGACGTTCAAGGCATTCAGCAAGCGTGGACTGGGGGAGATTGCATTTGCGAGTAATAACTTTGCTCTAGCTACCCTACACTTTGAAGAGGCAAGGTCTTTGTGCACTGAGATGGGAGTGTCCCCTCAACATTTGTATAGTTGCTTGCTGTTGGATACTTTACCGGACCAATTCAAAGGATGGGTGTTATTCCTAAGGGGTATGTCACCATTTGCGAATAATACTACGTAGATCGTGTACGTTAGCCTGTGACTGTATTTCACGAACAGTTTCATTATCATCCTATTATATCCATGGTGACCTGCAAGGCAGTAATGAGATAAACACTAGATTATCGATATACGGCAAGGCTTTGAAGGTCTCGTGTTAGTCCTAGATTCTAGGTGTCAGACCGCTCGAGCTTCTCTGCTTCACGAATCACACTTTCTCTATCAGATGGGCATGATCATGCTCTTTCAGTATGCCATGTGCATCTGCATCAGGATTGTTCGTTCACGATCGAAGTGACACAGGCTCACATTGGCAACCACTGCAAAGCTATTCCACCTGTTGTCTCCGACAGCGGGGGTCCTCATCGGCTTGACGATTTCTGTGCGAGCACAAGTTGATCACACGTTCTAGGTCTTCTTCATGCCCTTGGGTCACTGCAGCCATTTTCCTGCAATTCACAGTTATTGGCTCGCCCACCCAGAGGTCACCGACGATCTAGCTGGTCTGATGTATGGTATCCACGTTCGTTGGCATCCAGTATGTCTGAGAGAGAGGAAGATGGAAGAAACATATGACTATCAGCTCTCCTGAACGATGGAGTAGACTTGATGGTCTATTAGTCGAGGATGCGAATGGATTTGGCTTTGAGCTGAGAAGGGGCAGAAGATTTTAGAAGGGGATATGTTGGAATGGCATGTATTGAAGACAAAGTAACAGCTGATGATGTGACATTGGATAGGGGAGAGTTGATACATAGTTTCAATTGAAGCTGGTTGGTCCGAGGGCTAAGCTGTCTGAGGGTGAGCCTGCATTTAGTGTCATGTATCTCGAGAAGGCCAGACTGTTCACTGCGTCACCCTTTCCTCGTACAAGCTCTGCATGCACCGAGCTTGCTGCAGACAAGTACAACAGGGCCGAGTCTCATCCTAACGCTGCGAGCCTGCCGCAATTGAACGCTGCAATATACAAGGCGACCTGCGCACACATCCCCCAACATCCGTGGACTCAACGAGGTTGCCTTTGCGTGTGGTGACTTCACTGTAGCTGCACAACGCTTTGCAGAAACCGCACCAAGATAGGAGTGCCTCTTCAAAATTTGTACAGTTGTGTGCCTGCCAGAAAAATTCAAAGAGTGAGCGTCATTTTAGAGGGTCAGTTACCATTTCTAACCATCATGGTATGATAGACGGTAGCCTATAGAGCATAATATGCTGTCTGATTTTCAAGCAGTTCCATGACGGCTCCATCAATCTATGCTATTGCACTTGCACAAAGAGAAGACGAAGGGGCAATCACATCCGGAAAGGGAAGGCAGTTTGCAATTTTATTCTGTTCGAGCATGTTAAATCTACTCCACAACAAGGCTTTAGGCACACTCGTGGTGGAACCGATCCAATCTTGAATGTCCTTGACTTTCAATGTATCCATCTGTGTAAAGGTTGAATAACAACTGCAATTGTTTGCAACAAGGACAGCTCTAGCAGCACTGCGCTCGAAAACAGTATTCTAGAAAACGTGTAATGAATCAATCTTAGTAACGATCGTGGACGCATGCTTCGAGTAATGTGCTGTCCAGCATTTCAAGTATCAATCATGGCCTAGCGCCGGGAAAAAAAAACCCAGGCCACATAGATGAGCATGTATGCTATGTTGTCTGCAGGGTCTCACCATGTGCACAGTATTGTTCTCGTCAAGCTCGAGCTCTGGCAACTTGGAGAATAATATCTCGTAGAGTCTCTTGATTCTTCAACCTCTTTACGGGGAGAAACAAAGTTGAAATTGTCATGGATGCTGTGACAACGCGACGTGACATGCGCGTCTAGTAGCATCACATGATGTGACGAAATTCTTTTACCTGAGCTTATTGAGCGTAGATGGGAGATAATTAATGATAATTCTAATAGCATGGCAGTGGTTTTCCCAATCTACTTAATTCTATCCTCCAAATCACTCAAGAACACCAAATAAATACCACAACGAAACTCCAATAAATACTACGACGAAATTCCAAATAACCATGGTTGATCATTTGGATCGCCGTGCTAAACATCTCCACCAGCCAACATATCGCCACCAGCCTGTAAATAAATGGACGTCATGTCTGTTCCCCCGTCGGACCTGGCCACAAGTTTAGCGTGATATTCGCGAATGCCGAGGATCAGACGTGGTCCCAGCACAAACATCTGCAAAACCTGGGCGATTGGGAGAACAGCAGTAATAAAGATACTTTCTGCCGACGGTAAGTTCTGTAGAAATGATGATGAGTGGACAGACATAGATGCTTAGTCGCAGGCTGGTGCACCAAGTCATCTGTAGACAGTGAACCTAGGCTGAAGCAAGTGACGACAGCAAAGCTAACACATGCGGGACTTCAGCGAAACAAGACAATAGCATCTAAATCACTGGACTCACGCTCCAAAATAAAACGCATGACTTTTAGTTAACACCATGAAATAGTCCCTAATGGTCAATCCTGTCGAAGATTGTCGCAGCTCACGGAAGTGTTTTATGACAATCCAGATTGCAAGAACAAAAGCGAGGATCTCCCATATAGCGGTGGGTATCAAAATCTCGTTTTCCAGATCCAAATGGTATGTGTCAGCTGTGTAAACACACATACGGTAGCCAAGAAAGACGAATTCGTCTGGTATTTGTCCATGAGTCTTAAGTGTTTGTAGGTTTCATCAATAATTAAAGCTTACCTACTGAAACACCGATGTTTGCCATTATCGTGATAATGCCGGAGGCGATCGTGGAAGCCAACAAAAATACAACAAGAAAGACGAGCATCTTTTTGGATCGTTGATACATAGCATGTATCTGAATCATGATGATGACTTGCAAGATACTTTAGTTAAGTATCAGTAAGGTACCACAGATGAGCTCACCACCCAGCAGAGCATTGACGACAACAGGTGAACATGTTTTTACGAAGTAGAAGATACGGCCTGAAAACCCAGGTTACTGATGTCATGGGACATTGACGCTTCAAATGAACTTACAGCTGTTGCAGTCGTTATGTTTAACATAACAGAGCGGCTGAAAATGTCACTCACTCCTGTGGAGGAGTTTAGTTAGTAACTTAATAGGAATGGGAGGCATCGGTGCAGAACACCCACTACGTCTGTCACCGAGGATGGGAGAAAGTCTACATGCGGCTGTTAGTTAGAAGAAACAAACATAGCATGTTTGGGGGAATACGTACCCATTATGACGATCCTAATTGTGAGATATGGCTTGTTAATACGGTTGCAGTGTCAACTGGTTACCCTTGCAAACTTACACAGAATATAGAATTCCAATGTAGCGCACCTAGCATACATTGAAGTCGACTCAGCACAACACGTCAACTGCGTTCATAACATAACGTACACAAATATAAAGGACGGTCATGAAGGACCAGACATGCATCTGCTCCGAGTCAACTGCATGATTCAGTTTGCTTCTGATATAAGACCTTGCTTACCCAGACCAGTTCGAACTGTTAAAGCATCCTCAGTGAGATAGCTGCGCCGATGACGTCGACTTACCTCTTGTCCGAATGTTAATGCTTGAATTCCGTATAAATATTAAAGATACCCTCGGATAGTAGTATTTCGCTCACCCCAATCGTATACAATCACGGCAGAAGATACAACTGCAAAACCAGTCAGTGATAGTGAGACGTCATCATCTTCATCCCAGTTGCTCTCCACAGACCTATGATATAGTTTAGAAGATTAGAAGCACTGATAAACGACAGCCATGCAGGATAGTTTGACACTGAGGTCATATCTGGATGGGGCGTATGGAGTTGTGCAGACATGCCACCACCCAGCGCTTTTGTAGTGGTCAGTCTGGGTATCAGTACTTCAGTTCCTTGAGTGAGAATCTTGATTGATCATCGATGAAACATGAAACGTGCGAAATGTTTCAAAGGGGCTGAAAATCAGTCGGTGAAGTCTGTGGCACTGATGCACCCAGTCAAAACCTGCCAGCAAGTGGGAAATCTATAAAAATAGTGACGATGTTCGGCAGTTCTGCATCAGTTTTTGGTCCATTGTCCATTATTCTGTTGCACCATCCACTGATCATAACGTAGCAACGTACCACAGTTCAAACGTTCAATTCTCGCAAGACTATGCTGAAAGGGGCGTATCATCAAAATTGGATCAAAAAAGCATCGTAGCAGACGTGCACACCCTTTGAAATGCACGGTGGGCGCCTACCGACTGGATGCTAGTAATACCTGAAACTTCCTCAGTGGAGTCCGCCAAAGGTGTTCCAACTGCTAGCTCTCGACTGGCTTGATGTCGTATGAGCCGCGCCGATTATGCAGAGCTTCATCATAGTACAACCGTACTAGCTGTTAGAATGTCGCGTCTGTGACTTCGAGTCAGTGATCCCTTTTTGGTCACGCGCGCGTGAAATTTTTTACCAGTGTGATGTCGCATGAGTTGCACCAATCATGCAGAGCTTCATCATAGTACAAGGTTTCGGGGGTGGAGATGGTCTGCCAAAGGATGGAATTGGCTGAGTACAGCTCTGTTGATGCATGTGCTCTAACAGCCACCAAAAAGTACATGACACAGCACGTTAACGCTGGAAGTTGCGCCTTGTGGTGCGCTGATGGGTACGAGCAACTTTCGGTGCTAGAGAAGACTGCGGTGACCCAAAGTGCATGTCAAGGTGGGCATCGTTCGAAGGAATCAGATTGATAGTTCGTTGCACGACCATGAGCAGCGTCCAGGGCGTGTACACCCTGAGGCCGAAATTGAATATTGAAGTTTGATGCATCGTTTGCGTGATCACGACGAACGACAACAAGCAAGGCCCATTGCCCTGTGGCCGAAAAGTTCCGAAAATAAATTCTGATTTCGGAGATGCAATATCTGGATAGGACGGTACGGACGGGACGGACGGTCCTTTCCAAATTTCTGGTATATACGTGGTTCCTTTTTGATCACGCGGGCGTGAAATTTTTTGCTTGCAAGAGCCAAGGCTGCCAAGAACTATAGTACTCACACGTTTGACAACACCATTTGCGCATGCATAGACGGGACTGGTCACGAGTCTATGATGCATGATCGATGGTCTCCATGGTCTCTTGAGCTCTTCCGACAGGCGCGCTACACACCTATTTCCGCTTCACGAAGCAAGTCATGCGCTACCTTCTCGTTCTCAACGTGACTAGTGAATCTGCAAGAGCGTATGGCTACCCTCCACGACATGATGTTTTGATGACGAAATTTATCGAGGCAGATATAAAGCCTGGTCGTGAGGGCCGGTAATCGTTGAGGCTCTCGCTAGTTTTCACTTTTCTTGTTACCAATACCCATGGTGAAATTTACTATCCTCGCAGGAGGATACACCTCCTACATCGCCTCGTATATGTTCAATAGTGAGACGAACAATTTGACATACTTGAACCAGTACATCACTGGCGGCAATCCATCGTGGATAATCTCGCACCTACGAACAAGAGTATTCTTTAGTGCGTGTCCTCGTGTTAGTATCTGCGCGTCTCCGCTAATGGCTTTGATTGATTACATAGTGCAACCAACGAGAACGTCCCTACAGGCGCATTACAATCATTCACGGTCGGGACCTGAAGGAGCACTCACCCTTGTCGATACTGCATACTCTGGAGGGAGTGGCCCGCCGTATTGCGGCGGTCTCTCCACGGGTCAGGTAGCCATAGCCAACGTACGCCATGATTTCTTTCTTTCTTTTTTCAAGTTGATGCTGAATTTATATCAGTACGGCTCCGGAACTGCGCGTGTGATCCCCACGACCACAGATCCGTTGCACTTCTCCACCAATGACAGCACCATTGTGACATTCCCTGTCCCAACCACTGGAACGCAGGGCGTGTCCGAACCACATATGGCATATCAATACGGCGAGGAGCTCTTGATCCCTGACAAGGTACGTTTTGGGGCCTTTTCATTTGTGATTTGTGGCCTTTCCACTCACCTCGAGTGGCTGTTTTAAAGGGCAACGACAAAATCTGGCGTCTCGGCCAGAACGGGTCACAGGTAACTTCTCGGTACACGGTCAAATCGCGCAGCCGATCGGCAGCGGCCCACGGCACATTCAGATTTACGGTGAGAACATCTCCCTTCACATTCTCTCTCACTAAGCCAGCACACAGAGAACCAGCTCTACACAGTCCACGAGCTCGCAAGTACCCTGACACTCCAAGACTTCCCCGCATACCCCAACTTCTCCACTCCCCTCATCTCCAACGTTCCATTGTCCCCACAGTATCAACCTGCAGGCTCCAGCTTCGCAGGTGCCGAAGTCCTTATCCCACTTCCAACAGCTGAGTTCCCGACCCCTTACATCTACACCTCGAACCGCAACCACTGGTGTACAGGACCCACGTGGGGATACGATCGCCATTTTCGAGAACGTGAATAACCAGCTGGTCCTAAGGAACCAGGTATACACGGGCCTAGACCAGATTCGCGGCATGATGCATGGGCAGCAAGCCGGCGAGGGAGGTGATGCGTATATCGTGGCTGCCGGTATGCGGGGCACTGCGGGCGTCAAGGTGTTCAAGCGAACAGAGGGAGGCGCAAATTTGGAGGAGGTTGCAGTGAATACAGAGCTTCCGACACGTACAAGCTTCGTATGGTTGAAACAATAGAGGATTACGCACTCTGTATCAATGCAGACGATCTGCTGTCTAATATAGAATACGTATGCATGATTCTAGATCTAGGTGTGATACTGGTACTATGGTATGCGCGCTATGTATCATGAGTAAGTTCGCTGAAACAGCTGGACCTGCTCGTCCTTGCTCAATTCCCATGCGACCTCTCCAATGACGAGGACAAATGGGTATTTCGTCGGTGTTGCGCGGGCGTGCTGGTAATGCCAGAATCGCATCTAGAATCTCTGGAACATCCTCGGGCCCTACTTCACCTAGCCTGTAGAATTAACATAAGATAAACGCATGCGCAACAACACACAATTAACAGCCGTCAAACATACCATTCTCCGTGCGGGTACCACAAGGAGATTTGCTGCATATCTAGGATTGTGTATGAGCGATCAGGCTTGGTAAAGAGGATGCGACGTGTGCATACTTGTGTCCTCCGACATGTGCCACTTCTGCAAGCTTAATGCAGGTACTGGGATCACTCGGATCAGCATCTCTGCGCTTGAGGAGCTCATCCCTTACGGCCTGGGCAACTGCTCCCCCAGTGTCTCCGCACCGACAATCTCGCGCACCATGAGTACAGATATATAAATGCACATCATCTGAACTCGAGGACGTAGCACCAGAGACACCCTCAGCATGCACCCTCAACTGTTCTTCCACCTCCTCAATATTGTCCATGGACACAGTAGTCTCAAGCTTTCCCCGCGGATGCGCAAACGCTGTCAGATGATATTCCTGCTTGTCCTCCTCCCCAGGTGGTCGTGCACAGATAGATTGTTGGTCCTTAGACCACGCAAAATTGACAGACCCGCCCCATTTAGCGGTGCGTAGAAGGAGTGCGCGTTGGACGGGGGTTGCGTACTTGGCGGGATACTCGCTAGGCGGCTGTGGGGTATGCAAGAAGATGTAGCACCGGTGCGAAGGGGCTGTGCCAACGAGCTCCGGTGTGGATCTGGCGGTGGTGGATAGCGACCGCACGAGCGTTTTGAGCGCACGGAAAGCTGGCATATGGAAGACCGAGTTATGAACTGATTCACGGGACTGCGGGAAGCAAGCGCGGTTCGGGAACGTGATCATACACGTGACCGGCGCGATTGGATGTTGCTCCGGATCATCAATTCCACGATGGTCAAAAGTTTAGGTAAGGGCTGTGATATTTGGCGAGGCCCTTAAATATGATAACCCAATTGGCTACTTCACTCCGTTGAAAAGGCTCCTGAGATCTCAATCACCCTGGTGGTTTTATTTGTCACATGCCCGCAGCATTTGACTTTCATCTCGCAGACCTTATCTTTTCGACTAAGTATGTTGTCGGTGTGTAATTGGCGTGTTACATATCTTGCCATGACCTATTACTTGAGTTTCTCGAGCTCTTTCAGCATCCACGTCAGCAATATTCACTGGCACTCGTTTCACCGTGTCAATATACAAGCTATTACATAGTTTCCTCATCTTCCGAAGAGATCTGATGTCTCCCTATCTGCGCTACCAACGCCACGAAGCAGACGACAAGTGATCCAGCAAAACCCACGGCACCACGCGTCCATTGGCCTTCAGTTCCGAAGATCAAATTGCCAAAGCCCGCAGCAAAACACAGTAGGCTATCGCGAGGGTTCAGCAACAAAGTTCTTCATGTGGTAATATGAATGCTTACGCCCACATCAACAGTCCATATGGCAAGCTATACGTTATGGCTAGCGCTTCCATGTCAAAGAAAGATTGTGACACGTATTTCAGAAGTGTGACCTATTCTCTGGGTCAGTCCTTGATAGAACGATGGTATTTAATTGGTTCTCGTACAGCTCGCTCGCAATCCTTCTTTTGGTTTTGACGAACCAGGAGAAGTACGAGGAGGACGACTGCAATGCTGCAAACCACTGATAGGTAGCTTAGCAATTTGGCGGTGTCTTGTACAGATGGAATTGCAAGAAAGGCCACGTTGGCATTGAGAATAACTGTTGCCTAGAGTAATTCATAAGTATTGCCGACTTCACATGTTTTGATAACGATTCACCGAGAGCGCCAATCCAGCCCACTCGTCATTAAGTTTCCCGATGAATTGATTCCAGAGGACGCGATTAATGATCCTATCAACCCATATCTTCTTCAGATCTTCTTGGTGGGTATGAGGGGCGCCAAAGAGCAGAAGAGAGGCAACAATGAACAAGAGCGACTGATGATCATGACCCTTGAAGTAGATTGTCTGGTCGGAATCCAGCCTTGCACCTGGCTGTCCACAGAAATTGAAGAACTTCGCTTTGACTACTGCAATATTAGCGAAAGCCGGTAGAGTCTTTTGTTACGCACTGAACTCGGACATGAATCGAGCTGAAAGAAGATGGTTTAAACATACTTCGGGAAGCACATCGTTCAGGATGAAAACGCACCCACGACACATCTCGTGTGCGTAAATTCTCCTTCGAGGGTTCCTGTCATAGAAAAGCATCAGTCATCTGGATTGTGTACGCAAACCTTTACCAGAACTAGTACCTTCGATCTCCTTAACGAGGTCCAGCATCTTCTCCAGCTCGTCTCTCTCAAACGGAGCGACAGACGTCACAGACGTGATGGTCACTGAGGTTCACAAACATCAACTTCTCGCTCGAGGAGATACAACGTGACATCGGAAATCACCTGCTGCAGCATGCATAATCATTTGTTTTAATTCGTCAAGAACGACTGGCGTCACTCGATTTTCATGTGGAAAACAGTTCACAGTGAGCCCTTGAAGTTGTTTGAGTCGGCATTAAATCCACACGAACGGCTGACACGATGTCAGAAACTGACCCTGGTCACGTAAAATATTAAGCATACCTGGACCTCACCAGTACTGAGCTTCAATGGCGTATTCTAAAGTCGTGCATGTTAACATACAGAAAGATGCGGGAGATAGTCAAAAGTCACACACTGATATGACCCATGTTCCTCACTCGCCTGATGTTATCGAACAAGGATTCTGCGTCAAAACGTTCTAGCCAGAAGATGCACCGCGTGTCTTGTTCGACGAAATAGTAGCCGCAGGTAGCGTCATCAATGTCCTCAACAACCAATTCCGTCTTGCTGGTGATATCGATGTTTGGGTTGGTTTGTGCATCGTTATATAGCTTATCTGCGAATGCCTCGATTGCACTGAGGGTTGACGGCTTTGACAAGTCAGCATCAGTATATATCCGCTGCCGCCTTCGTTAATGATTGTGTGAAGTGTCGAATCTGAACCTACGCAAGTGCTGTCGTAGTAATACAAGGAACCTTCAGGGTGCACAAGCGGTTTCCATCGACTAGAGGGCGGTTTGCTTGGCGTCGTCAGCTCACAATAGTCCAACCGCAGAAGGAGTACATACTCCTCAAACACCTTGTTCCCCGGCTCGATAAACACGGGGTCCTTCGTTTGGGGTCTAGGCCGTGATTAAGAATCGAAAAAGGAGGCCGAGAGCGTCTCATACCGACTTACATTATCCGCTTCCTCTTGTATCGATTCACATCAGATGCTGGAATAGGCCTCGCCTCGCGTATCGATGCAGTAGAAGGAGATATTGTGCATGACGATACAGATATGCCAGAACTTGAAGGGTTAATGTTGCTGCTCGATGCGGTGCATGCACCGCTTGCCGTAGCGACCGGGGTCGCACCAGCAGAAGGTACCGGAGATGAAGGTGGCGACTTTTGTGGGGTTGGTGAGCCTCCAGGACTGCTGACTGTAATATGAGGTGTTGTTCTGTTAAGGAGTGACTACCTTCGCATCTTGCTGCTTTAGAGTATTAACGGGGTAAGACATACTGTGACAGGGCGGAAAGAGGATGGCTTGTCGGCAAAGTTGCAGAAGACCCTTGAAGCCTTAATCACAGGCGAAGATGGACATGATTGAATTAGTACAAAGAATAGAACACCACATTGCAGACGAACCGTGGTGCCCAAATGTAGTTAAAGACCGTGCTTAGCCCCCCTCTGGCACGGCTTCGGAAATTCGACTGAGAAGACATTGAAATCAATCAGTATTCAAGGGGATGCTGAAGGTTTCCCAGCCTGAAGCTGAAGCGCCGAACAGCCTTTAAGCGCTCCAACCACGTGTAGACTATGATGTACGGTGACTGTGCAATGCTGTGCAATGCTGTACATTCATCGTGGACGAGATGCTGCATTAATATTAGTGGTAGTCAGAGTGAACGATTAGTATGAAGCGATTCTGCGTGTGATTACGAGACGATTCAAAATTCGAAAATCGCATGAAAATCGCCATCCACTTTGAACACCCCGCAGCGAGAACGGATTCTCAACGCGATTCTGGTTGGATTCGTAAATAGGTATGTATACTAAAACTGACAGTTCCTAAGGTGAGTTATACATATGTTTTAAGTATCTGTTTTCTGATATATTTCACGCACTTGATATTATTGATCATGGTTGTGCTTTTGTGAGCTTTCCAAGTCAATGGAGATGCCTGTCGGACGCCTGCTTGCGGAATAAGTCTATTTAATTAGACATTTGTATTGTAAAATAAGAGGGGTACAGCTAAAATCCGATTCAGAATCGCGTGAAGCGCCTCCAGAGGCGCTTCGACGATTCAGCACGATTCGACATCAAATCCGATTCTCAGCGTCCAAAATCGTTTTCTGAATCGCAGGCCGAATCACCTCAAAATCGTCCACTCTGACTACCACTATTGATGCAATCAGTCCCGACTCCTGGTGATCCACTGGATATTGCCATCAGCGTGAAACCTAAAGGATGATATCTGAGTCGCAGAAGCCTATTCGGTGACTCAGTCGCTCTGCTGGCCATGTCAAATTGTATTCCTGCAGGCTGCGGCTCTCCCGACGGACTGACATTTTTCACATGTTGAAGAAGGAAAACAGTCGTCCTTCTTTTCAGGTCGGTGGACCAACAAGAGGATTTGCCGATACCTCGGAGTTGCTTTGGAATTTAGTTTGCTGCCGCTGTAGCCTTACAGTACTAGTATGCAGTGCACTGCGCACCACGCACTACGCGTACAACCGCGTATTATGTGAATCAGTGACAAAGCATTTGCCGTCGGTTGTCATCTAATCATCCCGACTGCCCCGTCACGTATATAAACAGCCAAGTGCTCGAGTTCACTCGATATCTATACCTCCTGTTGTTTATTTATTTATCTCAGATTATCAGCACCATGGGTTTCTTCTCAAAGTCGTTCGACCCAGCTACTGACCTCCCAGACTTGTCTGGTAAAGTCATCCTTATCACAGGCGGAAAGTGAGTATTTCACACATGACCCGGATTGTTATTCACACCTGCTTTGTAGCACAGGTATTGGGTACTCGACTGTGAAGCACCTGGCACGCCGTGGTGCTAAGGTGTACATGGCCGCGCGCAACCAAACCAAGGCAGAGGAGGCGATCGCGCAACTGAAAGCAGAGGGCCTGGGTCCTGGGAACGGTGATGTTATCTGGTTGGAACTTGATTTGAAGGACCCTCGGAATGCGAAGAAAGCGGCAGAGGAATTTATGAAGCAGGAGAAGAGATTGGATGTACTAAGTCAGTATATGTTTTTATTCATTCATGATTTTGGCATACTGAATGAATCACAGTTCACAATGCTGCGAGTGTAAGCTTTTCAGCTCGCGTGGGTGTGATTGATACTGAATGCCCTATCATTAGTTTGCTTGAGAATTACACCATGACACCGGATGGTAAGCTTTGATTTCGCTCCGTAAAGATGTACTTACACAACATCCCAGGTGTTCAGGAGATAGTGATGGTCAAGTGTGTCTTCTGGCAAAAAAAAACATGTACCGAGCACTTACCTACGTTCATTCCAGCGTAATAAGTCACATCGTCCTGACACGCACTCTTCAACCGCTCCTGGACCAGACAGCAGCAGAACCTAATTCAGACGTCCGCATAGTCGTCGTATGTGATACTTTACCGCATGCGTCCCGAAAACTCACACTTCTCTACTACCACTCAGGTCGCTTCAGATGCCCACCGGTTCGTATCAGGGGACACTCATTTCCGCAATCTTGATGATCTTAACAACGAACTCAAGAGTTCGCTTTCCCCTACCTTCGCGCGGTATTGTACGTCGGTCGTCCCTTGATATCTTCTGTCTCACGATATTCCTTCACAAGGCGTTTCAAAACTCATGAACATGCTCTACGCTTTTGAACTTCAACGGCATCTCACCGCTGTTGGCTCTCCCATCACTGTTATCGCCCTTCATCCTGGAGCAGTTAACACCTTTTCCGATAAGCCGCCCCTATCCAACTTCAAGTTCATCGTCAAGCCCATCGTGTCCCTCTTCTTTTTACATCCAGACCAGGGTGCATATAACTCAGCGTTTGCAGCGGCGTCGGAAGAAGTGGTCGAGCAGCGCCAGAAGTACAAGGGCGCATATCTAACGCCGGTAGGCAAGCTAACAGAGCCGACGAAGGTGGCAAAGGATGAGGGGCTTGCAAAGGAGCTTTGGGATACTGTGGATAAGTTTTTGGAGGAGAAGGGGATTTGACGGAAGTATTGTTTTATTGATGAGCTGAGATTGATGCATAACGGACAGCCGTACCTCCAGGGGTGTTGAATAGTTGATGCTAGATTATGATGGACAATTATCCCTGTTGATATGTTATCATGTACATTTGCATATAGCATGGACCATTGCAGAGCATCAACACCCCAAGGACAAAACACATACACATAGGATAGCATAATCATTGTACGTAGTATCCAACATAGGGCCCCGCCCCAAAGGACAATAAACAAGGATATAAAAAAACACGAATTGGATTACGGTAAAAATTTATCGGGTTAACTGGTTTCTTGAGTCTAATAGGGCGAGCAGAAGTAACGGAACAACATCTAAAGTACAAAGTTCCAGTACGTACAATAGGAAATCCTGTGGCACAAATCCGTGCCGTCGGGTTCATCTGCAATGTGTGCGGGAGTTCAGTAGGAAGTCATAAACGGACGAAGGAGCACAGCGAGGAAATCCCTAGTGTTAACGGGGAGTGATTAGTCCTGCTTTAAGGCGACAGGAAGTTGATAAGGCCTTGAATATGTGTTGGAGAACATCCAGCAGCTGATCTCTACATGGTGCCAAACCGGAATCATGCGCCAAAAAACGAAGTTCCTTTCCAGGTGAGTGGTGAACAGATGGTCGACTTTCTCGCTACCATCCTAGGCTGTTCTCAACTTCGATTACGCGACGTAGTTGAGAAATTTACTGGATTCCATACCGGATGTCGATAGGCACACGGCTAGGGTAAAGGATTAGCATCCATGGATATAGATGATCATTCGGATGACCGCCCCTGACATGTACAATCGTTCACCTATCAGCTTGCCATACCTTCTCAGACCCAGTTAAGATATGATTGTTGGGGTCGGAATGTCCGGTGTATGCTGGAATTCGAACATAGACTGGAAGAAACGTGCGGAGTGGAAGAGTGCGGGACGCTGTCGAATGGTTGTTAGAGGCATCAATGTAGTCCATATATATAGGAAGATACAAATAGCGCCGGTCGCAGACCTGAGCGCTTCATCTACACACCAAGCTCATTGCTGTGAAGCGAACACGTGTACAACGCATGGGAAAAAACGGCATGAACGAATGACTGCCCAACTTCCTCAACTCCCAACCAGACACCCATTGATATTGATCTCTGGTAATTGAGCACCGGGCTCGTCTAAAAGGTAATCCCCGTGAGTGATACTGTAAGCAGTTAGAGCCGACGACTTGCTTACCAGTGAATTCAGATACCTACAAAGATCTTTCGCTTATTCTCGAATTTCGGAGCACCTGCATACGTTATCCGTCTTGTGAGTAAGGATTGAATCCTGTAAGCACACTGTATCGTGAGCTATGGATTGTGCGACTCTGACAGGTATCAAATTGAAAGGAGATAGGCCCCTGGACTCCCCAGAAATCATTCCCGTTACCAGATAACCTGGTCTGATTCCAAGATACTTCACGATCTGCCGTAGTTGAACCTCCGAGCACGGACCATGACTTCCTCCACCAGTAAAACGTCAGTGATCACGCCACGCAAGACAATGCGAGGTCATACCAACTGGGTAAACGGTGTTGTGCACTTGCCTGACGGACGACACATCATCACAGGTTCGTCGGATGGCTCACTCCGACTATGGGACCTAGAGAACGGTGCACATATAGGCGAGGAATGGCTGGACGAGAATAGCACACAAGTGTGGACCATGGCATTGTCTCCAAATGGAAAGACAATTGCAAGTGGAAACGGAGGCGGTGATAACAGTGTGATGTTGTGGGACGTTGAGACGAGGAAGGTCATTTCAGAATGGACAGGACACACTGATGTTGTGCAAGCATTGTGCTGGAGTGCAGATGGTGAGCGAGTAGCAAGTGGATCCTGGGATGGGACAGCAAGAGTCTGGGACGTTGACAGCGGCAAAACTGTCTTTTCAATCAAAACCGGGCACAATTGGGTGTGGGCGGTGATGTACTCGCCTGACTCGTCAAAACTTGCGATAGGCGGACATGACGACGACGCTGTAAAAATCTGGGATGCAAAAACAGGGGAGCTTCTCAACACACTCAAACACGATGACATAGTTCGCAGCTTGGCATGGACATCGGACGGGAAGAAGCTTATCTCCGGTTCATACAAGCTAATTAGGATATTCGACACTGCCACTTTGCAGCAGATCGCCATCCTTGAAGGTCACACAAGAGCTGTCAGCGCCATATCCTTGTCTCGCAACAACCGCTTCCTTGCAAGTGTATCAAATGATTCAATAGCGTGTCTATGGAATCTCGACACCAATCTCCAAGTCGGACCACCCCTCCAGCACGAAGATCAATTGTGGTCTGCAGCCCTTTCCCCTGATGGAAAGGTGCTAGTCACTGGTTGCGAAAACAAAAACGCGTACGCATGGGACGTTCACGCCATCCTTAAAGAAGCTGGCCTTGAAGATCTCCTCCTGCCAATTCCTAATGTTAATTTTATGATTCTTTGGTTAAAGCTTTACTAATATCCAATCCCAGGTCCCAACTCAAAAGTCGTTAATGAACGTACGTGTTATATTCCTTCAATCTTTTCAACCACCTCAAGGTTAGTCACTCTAGAGCAATGCTACGCGACGTCCTACCTATTCAAGTCCGTCGAATACCACAAAACTTTTTCGACGGGGTGCAAAATGGTGCCCAGGTGACTCGTCTGCATTTTTGACCAGTTCTTGTTCTTATCTCTGTACTTTCAGTCTTCTGCCGCACGCGATACCCATCCTCGTTCTTCTGCACAACACCTTCGCAATACTCACGCACCACTTCTCGAACGCTTTTCATCGCTCTTTCGTTACTCTCACTGCGATGGCGATGGCGTACTTGAACTCCAGCACCGCCCAAGGTGGTCCATCTTCTCTCGCTGTCCTCCTATTGTCGAAGTCTCTGCAGTACGAGACAAAAAAGTGGGTCTTTCTTCCAGTGCGTTTCTAATTGCCGTGGTTCAACGACTTTCTGTCAGCCACTGTTTGTTGCTCGCCGGCCAGAACGTGACAAAGCGAAACGGGCACAGCAACAACAAACTCGATCGCATAACCAAGCCAAGGTGTCATCACAAAATCAGTCCTCCAATGCCTCGACCTCTGGTGCACCTCCTGCTCCGGCTACTACTACACCACGTGCAAAACCTGCGCATTCACGACTCATACGATTATTGTCTCATCTTGTACTTTTTCTCTGCTGCGCATCCCCTCAACATGCCGGTGGCCATGCACACCCAACACAGCAGCGATCGCAAGGCCAAGCGCAGACCCATGCCACATCGTCGCAAACACAGCACCAGCAAGGTCAATCGCAGGCTCAGGCTGCATCATCGCAGACTTAGCCTGCCGTCCCCTCCACGTCTGCGACACCTACTACTCTTAACGCTCACACTACTGCGCTAGGTGCAGACAGAGGGCAGCCACGTTCCCTTCCACTGCGGACCCGTTTCGTTCTTTTTCTCTGTTGTGCATCTCTCGCGCATGCAGACGGGCATTAACACTGCAGCTTCTGGATACCTATCTCATCTTTACATCTGGTTCTTTTGTAATTATTGTTATCCCTTTGTTCACGCCGAGAATGTGTGTATTTTATTTCCCAACCTCCTCAATCTCTGGTTGGTTTCAACATTATGGTATGAAGCCTTGATTTTCGTCTCACGCAGTCGCTAGAAGTGTGTCCCGTCCTGGTGGCCTAAAATGTTTTATATGATATAGCATTCACCTTTCTTCGTTGCTCGCTCTTGATTGTTTTGGACGCCAACGGACACGGAAACAGTTGATATCGATATTGTATGGAGATGACACGGAGATCACCTTGCAGACATGCGAGTATTTCGACAACCATTGTCGCCTAGTCTTCTTGTTCAAGCCCTTACTTACCTCGGAACTTCGACGCGGTTCAAATTGTTGGTACCAGTATGTACTACGAATATTTGATTCCATATTAAATTATTTATACTTACTCATCTTGTAGGTCACTTTACGCATGTGTCGCTGATCCCCCAAATATCTTCTTATACATACAAGCAAAAAAAGAAATCGCGCTCACATCTGCGAGAAAGATCGAAAGAGCACCATAATTGTGCTGGCGACAACATGCTCTCCCGATCTTCTTCTCTGGGTTTATTTTCGGGGGACGCCGGCGATGGTCGGGATATAGGCAAGTTCATCTATGATATTTACATGGGTTAAGCTGAAGAGAATTCGCAGAAGAGTCGACTCAACATGAACTGCTTCCGCGGAATCAAATTCTGCAGGTGCGCTCCCGTCGCGAAAAAGATGAGAACATAGGGCTTGAGGTATTTGATTGAAATAGCTCTTTCGTCGTATTTGTTGCAGAGTATGATATCGATGGTGATGTTTGGGTTGCATTTTATCGGTTTGTTCATACATGCATGCAGCTGAAGAGGGTTCGCAGAGGATGTGCTGACTCGACGCAATTTACTTCTGCGGATTGCAGCTCTGCAAGCGTGCTCGCGTCTCCGCGAAAGCGATTGGGGGACAGCGATTTTTTTTGTGTCTAGATGTAATCAATGTCCCTCGATCTCTTTTGCTGGATCCTTTGGGGTGTGGATGTCACAAGACGGGCTACAGGCAAATTTTATCTGCCATATGTATGTACATCAAACTGAGGAGGGTTCGCAAAGGAGTCGACTCGACATTTTACGAATATATAACAACATTGGAATATCTCATTGGCGGTTGGTGATATATTTCATTTGGGATTGACTATTTTTCTACTGTGCTCCCCGAATGGCCCGGCTCCATGGTTCCCGATTCTGGTGGAGAGAGGGTTCCGTCGAGTGATACGGTGAGTTGTGCATTGGCTAAAGACCGTCGTGGCATGTAGAGGCACTCAAGGTGAGTTCAATGAGTTTGTTCATTCACCGCGTACACTCACCCATGGTTCCTAGCATACCCCACTGCCCTTGCATGGCTGCGCGAGCTGGTACATGTGAGACTGATTTGCGGTTCACGACACTACAGTTAGCTACTGTCGTCCTCGCCTGCACAATCGTGATTCGTCGGGCAGACTCTTACCTACTTGGCATCTTTAGCTTGAACTCGTCGATCTATCTCAACTAGTCTTAGCCAAGTGGTTAACAGATTCCAAATCTGTTCCTCCTGGATCGTGCAGGTTCGAAACCCGCCAACAATAAATAGTTTTTCTCTATGATCACACCTTGGGCATGAGCTCGTGGAGAGGCTTTCGAACACCAAGCATAAGACTCATGGCCAAGTTGTTAACAGATTCGAAGTCTGTTCCTCCTGGATCGTGCAAGTTCGAAACTTGCCAACAATACTTTTCTCTGATCTGAACGCTGCGTATCATAGTACAATGGCAGTCATTTATTGGAAGCAACATCAAATTGCACGTGTCTTCAAATACTCAGTTCATGTGGTGATATATACTCTAGCGTAAAAGTTCGCAAAGGACAGAAAGCCCAGCGTCCAATACGTGAAAGACGCGGGAACTACCTTGTGAGGACTGCAAAGCAGTTTATGTCTGGAACATTTTCAACCTCTAATAGGGCAGAGGGTCTGTCACTAGTAGCTGCACTGGTACTTCCGGTCTGCAACATGATCGCATTGGACGTCCCTGCTGGTAACGTGCTGCTGCTTGAGGCACCAGCATGGGCTTACTGGCGAGGAGGATGTGGTGGGTGCTCCAACTCATGCCTTTTCCACTGTGGACATTAGCGGTGCGCTACAAGACAATATCAGGATGACGAGATGGATGTCGAAAGGTTAGGAATGCTTACATATTTGAATTTTGCCTCGTGTCGCAAAAACACCCCCAAAGGGACTCTTGTGTGGGCGAGTATGGCCTGGGGAGTAGAGGAGCGAGAAAAGAGACGATTTATCATGTTCTTCATTCCAGACTCTTCGGCGTGGCGAGTGGTGGTAGCAGAGCAGTTGTTGCGTCCGGTTGAGAACATGGATCAAACTGTCAAAGGATGGTGAGACGTGTGCCGACACTAGTGTACCACACGCAACACTCGCAGAAGAACTCCTGATTGTTGCCTTCGATCAACATAAGCTTTGGTGGGGCATTCCCGCACGACGCACGTACAGATGGAAAGCAGACGCACAGTCAAAAGCCACATGGAAGAGAGATATTACTAGTCTGATATGATTGTCCTACCGGGATCGAAGGGCAACGAAAGAACGCATCGTGGTGTCAACGTGGTGTTGGCACAACTCTTCACCTGTCGGGAAAGAGGCGATCCAAACTTCCGAGTCTCTGCACCGTATCAGTGTATTCGACGACCACCCTTGACATGTATCGCTCACCTATCAGCTTGCCATATTTTCTCATACACAGTTAAAACGACATCTAGTGTATGCTGGATTTTGAACATTGGCCGGAAGAAATGTACGGAGTGGAGAGGGAGTGCAGGACGCTGTCGAATGTTTGTTATAGCCATGAACCTAGTCCTTACATATGGGAAGATGCACAGCACCACATGAGTAACGCTGGTCGCAGACCTGAGCGCTTCATCTACACAGCAAGTTCATTGCTGTGAAGCGATTACCACATGGGATACAGCTTAAAAAACGGCATCAACGGACGACTGCCCAACTTCCTCCACTCCCAACCAGACACCCATTGATGCCTGGTAATCGAGCACTGCGCTCGTCTAAAAGCTACTTTCCGTGAGTGATACTATAGACAGTTAAAAGTGAGGACTTGCTTACCAGCGACTTCAGATACCCACAAAGATCTCTGGCATATTCTCGAATTTTGCAGCTTCCGCATACGTTATCTGTCTTGTGAGTAAGGATCGAATCCTGTAAGCACACTGTATCATGAGCTATGGCTTGTGTAATTCTGACAAGGCATCAGATTGAAAGGAGATAGGCCTCTGGACTTACCAGAAATCATTCCCGTTACCGGATAACCTGGTCTGATTCCAAGATCCAGGCAGACTTCTCTCGTATACACGATCTGCCGTGGTTGACCTCCGAGCACGAACCATGACTTCCTCCACCAGTAAGACGCCAGTGATCACGCCATGCAAGACAATGCGGGTTCATACCGACTGGGTAAACGGTGTTATGCACTTGCCTGACGGACGACACATCATCACAGGTGCATGGGACGGCTCACTCCAACTATGGGACCTAGAGAGCGGTGCACAGATAGGCGAGGAATGGCGGGACGAGACTGACGCAGTGCAGTCCATAGCATTGTCTCCAAATGGAAAGACAATTGCAAGCGGAGGCGATGACAGGAAAGTGAGGTTGTGGGACGTTGATACGAGGAAGGTCATTTCAAAATGGACAGGACACACCAATGTTGTGTGTGCATTGTGCTGGAGTGCAGATGGTAAGCGAGTAGCGAGTGGATCCTGGGATGTCGACACCGGCAAAACTATCCTGACAATTAAAACTGGGCACAATATGGTAGAAGCGGTGATGTACTCGCCTGACTCATCAAAACTGGCGACAGGCGGAGACGAGAATGGTGTAAAAATCTGGGATGCGAAGACAGGCGAGCTTCTCAACACACTCAAACACGATCACCAGGTTTTCAGCTTGGCATGGACATCGGACGGGAAGAAGTTTATCTTCGGTTCATATGGCCCGATTAGGATATTCGATACTGCCACTTGGCAGCAGATCGCCATCCTTGAAGGTCACACATACTCTGTCTGGATCTCCTTGTCGCAGAACAACTGCCTCCTTGCCAGTGTATCACTCGATCATACAGCGCGTCTATGGAATGTCGACACCAATCTCCAAGTTGGACCACCGCTCCAGCACGAAGAGGATTTGCGCTCCGCAGCCCTTTCCCCTGATGCAAAGGTGCTAGTCACTGGTTGCCACAACAAAAACGTGTACGCATGGGACGTTCACGCCATCCTTAAAGAAGCTGGCCTTGAAGATTCTCCTCTTGCCAATTCCTAATGTAAATCTTATGATTCTTTGGTTAAACTTTACTAATATCCAATCCCAGGTCCCAACTCAAAAGTCGTTAATGAACGTACGTGTTATATTCCTCAATCTTTTCAACCACCTCAAGGTTGTCACTCTAGGGCAATGCTACGCGACGTCTACCTATTCAAGCCCGTCGAATACCACAAGACTTTTTCGACGGCGTACAAAATGGTACCCAGGTGAGTCGCCTGCGTTTCTGACCAGTTCTTGTTCTTATCTCTTTACTTTCAGTCTTCTGCCGCACGCAGTACCCATCCTCGTTATCCTGCACAATACCCTCGCAGTACTCGGCCATCCCTTCTCGAACGCTGGTTGTCCCTCTTCCGCCACTCTCGCCCCGATACCGATGGAACAATTGAACTGCAGCAACGCTCACGGTTGTCCATCTTCTCTCATCAGGGTCCTCGTATTGTTGAAACTCCAACCGTACAAGACAGAAAGGTATGTATTTCTTTGTGTGCGTTTCGCATCGCCGTGGTTTAGTCATTTCTGTCCAGGCTTTGTATGTTGCTCGGCCGGCACAGAACACACAGCAGCAAGTACAATCGCACGGCCAGGGATCGTCCACGGCACCACCTGTTCCAGGTACTAATACTGCTACGCCAGATGCAAGACCTGCGCACTCACGACTCGTACGATTGTTGGCTCATCTCGTGCTCTTTCTCTGCTGCGCATCCCCTCAACACGCCGATGGCAACCCACACCCAACACAGCAGCAATCCCAAGGCCAAGCGCAGACCCATTTCATATCGTCGCAAGCACAGCACCAGCAAGGTCAACCACAGGCCCAGGTGTCATCATCACCCACTCAGCCTGCCCCCCTCTTCACGTCTGCGATTCCTACTGCTCTTGATGCTCATACTACCGCACCAGGTGTAGCAAGCGGGCAGCCACGCCCCCTTCCATTGCGGACCCGTTTCGTTCTTTTTCTCTGCTGTACATCCCTTCCGCACGCAGATGGGCACTAACACTGCAGCACTCATATTTGAATCTGGTTCTTTTGTAATCGCTTTGTTCACGCCGCGAATGTGTGTATTTTATTTCACCACTTCCTCAATCTCGGGGTTGGTTTCGATGTTACCAATTTTAATCTCAAGTAGTCGCTAGAAACGTGTCCCGGTTGCAAATCCCGGTGTTGTATATTTTATGCACTACTTGTCCCATCCGCATCTATTCGTTGGTACTACCCGATAGCAAGTATGTACATTCTGCCTTGCACTGGATCGTACCCTCGTCAAACTGCACATGTGACCTTCTCAACCGTGTTTCCTACATGCTTCCCGACTAGATTTTTATACGCTACGGTAATCTCGCGGAGGTTTTCTGTTATATGATTTTCTCCCAGAGGATCTGGTGTATACTAAGGCAGGAACATCGAATGGTCACAGGCTCAAGTCCATTTATCCACATTAGACACCCACAGTACTATTACAAAGTCGAGCTACTGTACGAGTCTTCCCGTTTCGTGATGTTGTTTCCGATGAGGAAATGATGAAAGGACCAGTGGCCAAAGTGAAAATCAAAATGTATAGATCACAAAGAAAGATGCGGCCGAAAAAACTGCGCAACACATTTTGTCTTGACGAGTCGCAACATTTTCTGGTAATCTCGATGCGATAGCAGAGCAACTCGCCGGGGTTAGCTTCAGACACGATCTGAGAGACAGGCCGTAGGCATCGACACAAACCTCTTGCGTGCTCGACACATCCCAACCCTAAAACCACAAAATAGATTAAGAAACACATTTCAATCCGCTGTGAGATGATGTTTCTAGGTTGGCTTAGTACCAGTATTTAGCGGACTGTGGCACCGGTCTTACCAGACGTGTCAAAATGCGATATATCCGGGTACCACATGACTCCGATTTCAGATACTGTCAAAAGGAATACCGATGCTTTCTGGCAGAATATTTACAGCGTCCAAACGCTCATTCAATTAAATTGACATACGAACCTCACACCGACTGGATAAAGGGTGTTGTGCACTTCCCTGGCGGACGACGCATCATCACAGGTTCGTTCGACCGCTCACCTCCGATTATGGGACCTAGAGAGCGGTGCACAGATAGGGGAGAGATGGCGGCACGAGAATAATATGGCAGTGAGGTCCATGGCATTGTCTCCAAATGGAAAGACAATTGCAAGCGGAGGCGGAGGCGGCGATTACAGTGAGCTTGTGGGACGTTGAGACGAGGAAGGTCATTTCAGAATGCACATGACACACCCATATTGTGTGCGCATTGTGCTGGAGTGCAGATGGTGAGCGAGTAGCAAGTGGATCCTGGGATGGGACAACAAGAGTCTGGGATGTCGACAGCGGCAAAACTAAGTATCCTGACAATCAAAACTGGGTACAAATGGGTGTGGGCAGTGATGTACTCGCCTGACTCATCAAAACTTGCGGAAACAAGTTCGAGAATGCGTTGAAAATCTGGGATGCAAAGGTGGGGGAGCTTCTCAACACACTCAAACACGATCGAGCAGTCTACAGCTTGGCAAGGACGTCAGACGGGAAGAAGCTTATCTCCGGATCATCTTTCCTAATTAGGATACTCGACACTGCCACTTGGCAGCAGGTCAATCCGGCAGCATTATAATGGCCCTTGGTTTTTTTAGACACAATGTTGAACTTGTACGTGTGTGCGTGCTCGTGATACTGGATTAGTGCGACCGTCTTAGTTCTTGGCTCCTGGTGATCTGCTGGGTATTGCCATCAGCGTGAACCTCTGAACCCGGGCCTTTGTAGTACGCCATCCGTTGCCTGAAGAATGACATCGTAGAAGCCAACTCGATCGCTTTGCTGGTCAAGTCAAAAAATCCAAATGTCGTATTCCTGCGGCTCTCGACGGACTGACAACCTGCCGTAGTTTTTCATATGACTTGAAGAAGGAAAACAGTCGTCCTTTTCATGCCAACGAACCAATTACTAAGAGACTTCCGATATCTCGGAGTTGCTTAGTCCGCTGCCGTTATAGCATTACAGTATAGTCCGCACTGCGCGAGCCAGTGACAAAGGATTTCCATGTCGTCGGCCAATCATTCAATCATCCCGACCGCCCTGTATATGATTTATAAACAGCTAAGTGCTCGACATCTACCTCCCGGGGCCTTTTCTTGTTGCATTTATTCATCTCAGCACCATGGGTTTCTTCTCAAAGTCATTCGACCCAATCACTGACCTCCCAGACTTGTCTGGTAAAGTCATCCTTATCACAGGCGGAAAGTGAGTATGTCACATATGACCTGGATTGTTATTCACAGCTGCTTTGTAGTGCAGGTATCGGATACTCAACTGTGAAGCACTTGGCACGTCGTGGTGCTAAGGTGTACATGGCTGCACGCAACCAATCCAAGGCAGAGGAGGCGATCGCGCAACTAAAAGCAGAGGGGTTGGGTCCTGGGAACGGTGATGTTATCTGGTTGGAACTTGATTTGAAGGACCCTCGGAATGCGAAGAAAGCGGGAGAGAGATTTATGAAGCAGGAGAAGAGATTGGATGTTTTGAGTCAGTTACTACATGTTTTATTCGTTCATGATTTTGGCATACTGAATGTATCACAGTTCACAATGCTGCGGTGTAAGCTTTTCAGCTCGCGTGGGCGTGATTGATACTGAATGCCCTATAGGTTCGTTGAGAATTATACCATGACACCGGATGGTAAGCTTTGGTCTCGCTCCGTAAAAATCTGCCCTTACACAACATCTTAGGAGTTCAGGAGATAGTGATGGTCAAGTGCGTCTTCCGGCAAAAAACATGTACCAAGTAATTCACCTATATTCATTCCAGCGTAATAAGTCATATCGTCCTGACACGCACCCTTCAACCGCTGCTGGACCAGACAGCAGCAGAACCAAATTCAGACGTCCGCATAGTTGTCGTATGTGAATCCACTTCACCGCATGCGCCCTGAAAACTCACAGTTGTACGCTACCATCTAGGTCGCTTCAGATGGCCACCGGGCCGTATCAGGGAAACCTCGTTTCCGCAACCTTGATGATCTTAACAACGAGCTCAAGAGTTCGCTTCACCCCGGCTTCGCGCGGTATTGTACGTCGGTCACCCATTGGTATATTCTGTCTCACAAAATTCCTTCACAAGGCATGACGAAACTCATGAATATACTCTACACTTTTGAACTTCAACGACACCTCACCGCTGTTGGCTCTCCCATCACCGTCATTGCCGTTCACCCTGGAGCAGTCGACACCTGGTCCGATAGACCGTCCCTATCTAACTTCAAGTTCATCATCAAGCCTATCGTCTCTCTCTTCCTTTTAAAGCCAGACCAGGGTGCATATACCTCGGCGTTTGCAGCTGCGTCCGAAGAAGTGGCCAAGCAGCGCGAGAAGTACAAAGGCACGTATTTGACGCCGGTAGGCAAGCTAACAGAGCCGACGAAGGTGGCAAAGGATGAGGGACTTGCAAAGGAGCTTTTGAATACTGTGGATAAGTTTTTGGAGGAGAAGGGGATTTGATGGATGTTTTGTTTTATTGATGAGCTGAGATTGATGCATGACGGACAGATGTACCTCCAAGAGGTATTGGATGGAACAAATATGCCTGTTGATACGTTATCATGTACATTTGCATGGCGCTGGTGCCCATCCAGGCTGTGCGGTCTTCCTCTTCTTCTGTTTAGTACACCATTAATTGCATCGTGTCTTACGTCTCACTGTATGTCATTCCTACACAATTGATTTATTGGCCCTTAGTCTGTTGCAATTAATGTTAAAAGCGGAGTGAGTACACAACGATGCGATGATTCGACAAGTCAAGGACTTATTTCCGCCTAAATTTTAGTCACTACAGTGCGGAGCTGTGCGAGTTACAACAAAAACTTCTGTACTCCATAGTCTGAGTCATGAAAACTCAGACGGTTGATCTTTAGAAGGTGCAGATCAAGAGCGGAAGTAGCCAAGACCTGATTCAAAACGAACATATGGTGATAGAAAAGCTGGGTTGCTAGCGTAGGACAGCAATGTGTCTTCATATCATGGTAGATAGCACGAAGGACAGTATACATCTCCATGGATGAACCGGAGCGTGTTCCTGCAACCTGTCTTTCCTGGAGAAAATTCTGATTAAAATTTCAAACGATGCATTCAAGCATGCGAAATTCAATGATTCCGCAGTGTTGTCAGTGAACGAAGTGTTTCCCCGAGATTTGCTATAATTAGCTTGCATGGTTGTGAAATAAACTTACTTACATACGCTATCCAGCAATGTCCAGCGCAACAACCAGCGCAGATTAGAAGCATTCGCTGTCTCGTTTACAATTCTAGGAACATACCATCAGTGAATTGATGAGTCCTCGACATTGTAGCCGCGGGAACTGTTGGTACTACATTCGCACGTTCTGGAGGCTACATGGGTTGAAACATGAAGCTTGTTCAGCCGAATTCTACGGCATGAGTGAAGAAGTCGAAGAAAATACCGCCAACGGGCGGATCTCGCGAGGTATGCGTCAGTCTGCATCACAGGTGACGAAATTGCACTCGAACATGCTGATATGACCCATCATGTTGATTACCCAGTTGGTTCACCGCCGAAAACAGGCGAGGGTCTCACTGCGGCCAGGGGAACTACTCTGACGAGACTTGCCAGCAGTAATAGCAGAGTGAAAGGTCCAAACCCGTGTGTTCTTTTATGACTGCATTTGATAAGCTGATTTCATAGCCTCGCTAGCTTTCCAAAATCATGGTATTACCAATTGCCTAAACGCTCTGCCGGCCATCATGATGTCAAATTATATTCCTGCAGGCTGCGGCACTCCCGACGGACTGACGTTTTTCAGATGTTGAAGAAGGAAAACAGTCGCCCTTCTTTTCAGGTCGACGGACCAACAAGAGGATTTTCCGATACCTCGAAGTTGCTTTGGAATTTAGTTTGCTGCCGCTGTAGCCTTAGAGTACTAGTATGCAGTGCGCACCGCGCACTACGCGTACAACTGCACATGTGCGTATTATGTGAATCAGTGACAAAGCATTTGCCATCGGTTGTCATCTAATTATCCCGACTGCCCCGTCACGTAGTATATAAACAGCCAAGTGCTCGAATTCGCTCGACATCTATCTCCTGTTGTTTATTTATCTATTTTAGATTATCAGCACCATGGGTTTCTTCTCAAAGTCATTCGACCCAGCTACTGACCTCCCAGACTTGTCTGGTAAAGTCATCCTTATCACAGGCGGAAAGTGAGTATGTCACATATTCGGATTGTTATTCACACTTGCTTTGTAGCACAGGTATTGGATACTCGACTGTGAAGCACCTGGCACGCCGTGGTGCTAAGGTGTACATGGCCGCGCGCAACCAAACCAAGGCAGAGGAGGCGATCGCGCAACTAAAAGCAGAGGGGTTGGGTCCTGGGAACGGTGATGTTATCTGGTTGGAACTTGATTTGAAGGACCCTCGGAATGCGAAGAAAGCGGGAGAGAGATTTATGAAGCAGGAGAAGAGATTGGATGTTCTGAGTCAGTATATGTTTTTATTCGTTCATGATTTTGGCATACTGAATGAATCACAGTTCACAATGCTGCGATGTAAGTTAATCAGCTCGTGTGGGTGTGATTGATACTGAATGCCGTATAGTTTGCTCGAGAATTACACCATGACACCGGATGGTAAGCTTTGGTTTCGCTCCGTAAAGATGTACTTACACGACATCCCAGGGGTTCAGGAGATAGTGATGGTCAAGTGTGTCTTCTGACAAAAAAAACATGTACCGAGCACTTACCCGCGTTCATTCTAGCGTAATAAGTCACATCGTCCTGACACGCACTCTTCAACCGCTGCTGGACCAGACAGCAGCAGAACCTAATTCAGACGTCCGCATAGTCGTCGTATGTGATACTTTACCGCATGCGTCCCGAAGACTCACACTTCTCTACTGCCATTCAGGTCGCTTCAGGTGCCTACCGGTTCGTATCAGGGGAAACTCATTTCCGCAATCTTGATGATCTTAACAACGAGCTCAAAAGTTCGCTTTCCCCTACCTTCGCGCGGTATTGTACGTCGGTCGTCCCTTGATATCTTCTGTCTCACAATATTCCTTCACAAGGCGTTTCAAAACTCATGAACATGCTCTACGCTTTTGAACTTCAACGGCATCTCACCGCTGTTGGCTCTCCCATCACTGTTATCGCCCTTCACCCTGGAGTAGTCAACACCTTTTCCGATAAGCCGCCCCGATCCAACTTCAAGTTCATCATCGAGCCCATCGTGTCCCTCTTCTTTTTACATCCAGACCAGGGTGCATATACCTCGGCAGTTTGCAGCTGCGTCGGAAGAAGTGGCCGAGCAGCGCCAGAAGTACAAGGGCGCATATTTAACGCCGGTAGGCAAGGCTAACAGAGCCGACGAAGGTGGCAAAGATGAGGGACTTGCAAAGGAGCTTTTGAATACTGTGGATAAGTTTTTGGAGGAGAAGGGGATTTGATGGATGTTTTGTTTTATTGATGAGCTGAGATTGATGCATGACGGATAGCCGTACCTCCAAGAGGTGTTGGATGGAACGATCATCCTTGTTAATACGTTATCATGTGCATTTGCATGGCGCTGGTGCCCATCCAGACTGTGCGCTTTTCCTCTTCTTCTGTTTAGTACATCATTAATTGCATCACGTCTTACATCTTATTGTATGTTCCTACACAATTGATTTATTGGCCCTTAGTCTGTTGCAATTAATGTTGAAAGCCGAGTGAATACACAACGACGCGATTATTCGACAAGTCAAGGACTTATTTCCGCCTAAATTTTAGTCACTACAGTGCGGAGCTGTGCGAGTTGCAGTAAAAACTTCTGTGCTTCATGGTCTGAGTCATGAAAACTCAAGAGGTTGTCTTTGAAAGGTGCAGATCAAGAGCGGAAGTAGCCAAGACCTGATTCAAAACGAGCATATGGTGATAGGAAAGCCCGGTTGCTAGGCTGCGTAAGATAGCAAGATGTCTTCATATCATGGTAGATAGCACGAAGGACAGTATACATCTCCATGGATGAACCGGAGCAGCTTCCCGCAACCTGTACTTTCCTTTTTTGGAAATTCAATGATTCTGCAGTGTTGTCAGTGAACGAAGTGTATCCCCCAGATCTGCTATAATTAGCTTACGTGGATGTGAAATAGACTTACTTACATACGCTGTCCAGCAATGTCCAGGGCAACAACCAGCGCAGATTAGAAGCATTCGCTGTCTCGTTTACAATTCTAAGAACATACCTGCTGGTAGTTCGCACGTTCTGGAGGCTACATGGGTTGAAACATGAAGCTTGTCCAGCCGAATTCTACGGCATGAGCGAAGAAGTCCGAGAAAACACCGCCAACGGTAGCACTGAATAAGGTCAACAGGCGGATCTCGCGAGGTATGCGTCAGTCTGCATCACAGGTGACGAAGTTGCACTCGAACATGCTGATATGGTCATGTTGATTACCCAGTTGGTTCATCGCCGAAAACAAACGAGGGTCTCACTGCGGCCAGGGGAACTACTCTGACGAGACTTGCTAGCAGTAATAGCAGAATGAAAGGTCCACGTGTGTTCTTTTAGGACTGCGTTTGATAAGCTGATTTTATATCCTCATTAGCTTTCCAAAATCATGGTATTACCAATTGCCTAAAAGTCTCTAGTCAGATGATCTGCAAGCCGCCAACGAAAGAATACCTCTAGCACTATTACGCTCTCTTAACCATTATCATCGCCAATGGCCATTCGATGTCCACTTCATCATGTCCTTCCACGGCTTTCCCATCTTCCCGCTCGGCGCCCTCCATAAGATCCTTCCAGAACCGCACTGCAACATCTCCACGCGGGTTTTCCACATCCGTAGGGTTGCGCTGGCGGAACGTGTGCAACGAGCTCCACGTATTAAGATAAGATAGCAGGTCATCCCACGTCATCTTCTTGCGCATGATCACGGAGCGTGGGGAAGGAAGAGATGGGTAGTGGTCACCTGCGATGCATTAGTGCAGTGTCACGTGACGATAGGTCCGAGACAAACCTGTGAAGAAGACTCTCTCGAAATCACTGAATGCGCCGGGTACGACTTCATTGCCATCTGGCACCTCAACCAAGTGGTTTTCTAAAATAGAACGGCCGGGTTGCTGCCAATATGGACCGATGCTGTTCAGTGGGTCAATGCCTTGGCCATAATCGTTAATTTTCTGTGTGAGTGACGGATAGCGGGTGAAGCGGAACTCGGAGTAAATCTAAGTCAAGTAAATGTTAAGAGTGAGACGAGTAATGGCTCGGAGATGGGAATACATACCCAGAATGCAGCACTCCCGTCCTTCCTCAGCACCCTCGCGAGCTCAGGCCACATTTTGTTCCAATCGAACCAATGGCCTGCCTGGGCTACAACCACAGACATCATGAATAAACAGTACCATGGAGTTTATGCTGTCTAACACACGCACCACCAACGACTAGATCCACACTGCTATCCTCCAAGAATGGTAGACTCTCTGCGCTCGCCTGTATGTACTCATATTGACCCGTGCTCACTGGCGTTTTCTTGAGGGCATCTTGAGCAACTTCGATCATCTTAGAACTTGGGTCGACGCCAGTCACGCGCTTGAAGGGTGTGAGCTCGACTGTTGCTTGACCTGGAAGCCCGAATCATCACAATAGTTCAAATTGAGTACAGCTAGAACTGACCCGTCCCACAACCAAGGTCCACTGCTCTATCCCATCTTGCACCCTTATTGCGCTCGTGGTACC